GTTATTTTGTACTTCTGTTTGTCTTACTTTCAATTTAATAATCCACAAAACAACAATATCCTAAAATAGATATTATTATATATTATCATCATTTATAAAAAGTTTTAAAATCAGCTTTGCTGGGTAAAATTTAAAAATTTTACGAAAAATGGCCTACTCTTAAATATAAAGATTCCACGAAAAAATGATCAAAAAATGTTTTTTAAAATTAATATTTTATTTTTGAATAAAAATAATTGTTTTCCTTTTAAATAAGAAATATTTTACAATGAAAATCGTAAATTACATGTATTTTATATTATATTATTTTTAACATGCAAGGTAAAATAAATAAAATGAAAGTTTAAAATAAAAATAAAAATTTAAAAAATTTTTTTTTAAAAAAAAGCTTGGAAACTTAAATTTTAAAAAAGGGTTCGGGTTTGGGTTCAGCGAAATATCGAGAGTTAGGGTTCAGGGTTTGGGTTCGAGTTCTCCTGGTTATAATATTCGATTTATTATCATTATGGAGGATATGATTGGCATAATAAAGGCTGGAATTTATTTAAGATAATTTAATTTTATTAAAATATAGTACAATATTTTTATTGTATAAATAAATTCCAATTTTTTTTATTGAATATTGATTTGTTTGTATTTTAATACCATTTATTTCCCCAAAATTGTAATGAATTGTTGAGCCTTTACAAGACTTTCCTATCTTGTATCTAATAATATTTGAATAATTTTATTTTTTCTATTTTATAAAATATTTTCTATCTTAATTTTTTAATAAATTTCTCATATAAATATCAGAGATGCAAAGATTCTATTTGCATGGCCTAGGCCGGATTAAATTTTTTTTTTGAATTTTAGACCCAGCTAGGGTTTTTTATTTTTAAGCTTTGCCCAAATCCTTATTTTTTTTAAATATTTACGCTCTGATTTCTTTAAAAAACACGCGAATATAATACAGTTATAAAAAAATTATAGTTATATAAACCGGCATATAAATCACAATAAAATATAAAATTAAACATTTATAATGCGTTCATAAATAAAAATCTACTTTGCGATTGCGCCAATTTTTAAATAATTTTTTGTTTATGGGATTAGATCTCGAAGAATAAAGCTAGTGCCAAAATATTCAGTAATTTTGTTCAAAATTTATAAAAAAGTATGCAATGTTTTAATTGTATTTCTTGGAGGATTATCTACAAAAATGAATCATACCATTTAAATTATGAAATTAATTAGCCTTCAGATACTATTATCTTCTGAATAAAATTTAGCTAAATATTTAATTTTTCAATATCAAGATTTGATATATCCTCAGATTAGAGGGAGTTATGAGGTATAGTCTTTATAAATTGAATAGAGCAATTTCATAAATTAAAAACCTTTTCTTGATTTGTCAAAATTAAATCCAAATGTGGAAAATGGTCATTTTATAATGATCCTCAATTGAGTTCACGTTAATATTGGAACGATTTCTTTGTCGGCAAAGTCGAGACTTGTGAATCCCAAAATCCTATAATTTAGCTTTCACCTGAACAAACACATTAATATCAAGAAATTCCTGGGCGATATTATCTCATGGCCTTCTAAGTTGTATATAATAATATTCGCAATTCTAACTTAAGTTAAATCCATTTTTTTGAAAAATATTGCATAAAATTGTTGTGTAATAAATAATTTATTAATACATTCCAATGAAAAAAATCGGCAATCTTATTAAATCTAATAATGTGTTAGCTTCAGATGAAATATATCAGGTAATTCTGATATTTTTCCAAGGGCATATAAAATAGGCTCCTATATCCAACAAGAGTTGGTCGATCAACAAAACCAATGTTTAAAAGTTATATAATCAATTGCACCATTGTCTAATGATATCTCAAACTTTTTTCTCAGATTATGGAAACCCGGGCAAAATTTACATTTTCTAAAGTAAAAATCAGGAATTTCAGGATTACAAAAAGACTGTAAATACAATCTTAATAATCTTTAATGGGGAATATACTACTAGACTTTAGTTGGGCAAATCTTCCGCCGTTCAACATCAATTTTAGATAAAGTGCATATGCACATGCATGGGTTTCTGGTTATTCAGCTAAGACACAATATGTTAGTCTTAAATAAGCAAATTTGTTAAGCCCACTTAAAATTAGAATATAATTCCTTAAGATTGCATAGAATCAATTGGCACTTCTCCCCTTTAACCTTTATTAATATAACATGGTTTTCCCAGTCATTTTACGACAGTTTTCATAGGAATTATAAAATTTTAAAATAATTTCTATAGTATCCTCTTGAGAAACATTCCCAGAGGTACGTTTCTTAAACTTCACAATGTATATATTGTCCAAATTGTGCGAATTTTAGGAACTAAATAAATATATACCCTTATTTAATTTTTTATTTAAAAGAATAAAATATTTAAAAGATTTTAGTTTAAATATATTATAATTAATGATTTATCAAATATTTATTATGAATTTTTACAATTGACTAATGATTAAAATGCTGTATCTTTTAATAAATTCGGCCCAACTTGAAATTTTGCACATTTATTAATTAGTCCTATATCTATATATAAAAACGAGAGACCGGTTTTCTATTCCCAATTTTTGACATTTCATTTTTTAACAATCTTAACATTATATAACTTTAAAGACCTACCATTACACTATATAAAGAAATTTAAATGACGATTCTAGCTCATTTATATCCAAAATAAAGTGGGGAGAATTTTGCCCAAAATGCCACAATTTTACGACCTTTGAAGGCCCGTATCTCAGCCACTATTTGGAGTTGTAAGATAAAATTTTATTTTCTTAATTATAATATATGCAAACTCTAGTAAGTATATATTTTAGAAAAATCGGGGTCGGGTTGAAACTCTTGTTGATTTGTCATGGAATTTATGGTATTATAAATTAATTATGCATTATAATTTCGTTAATGCCTTGTTCTTTATTAGTTTATTTATAAAAAATTTTTCTGTTTAAAATTAAATACAAAAAAATAAATATATTTTCGTATAAATTATTTTGTAAAATTTTTTAAAAAACGAATTATTGGAATAATTTGAATAGAATACAAAGTAGATATTATTCTTATGAACACGAATAGTAATTTGCAATATTCGATTCGTTTTTGAAGACCTAGTGTGAATAAAGAACTTTGTTGTTTATTTTAAACTCGTTGACGTGGAATAGGAATATAATAACATATTTTCGATTTATTATATAGTCTTGTTTACAATTTTACAAAAAAAAATTGAAGTGCTCTAAAAAATAGACGAAGCAATTTTTCCTAAATATTTAAAAGTAGTTTTATTTTTTCACATATCTCTATCGTAGAAGTTAAATTTTAGAAAAAGATCTTTTAGTATTTTTGTTTATAGAAAATTTAAATTTTTTTTAAAAATCAGAGAACAATACCCGGGGTACCTTTTAATCTTTCGCGGTTCATGTTATAGCACTTCTTTATTGTTCAGATTTTTCTAATCCTAAGTAAATAAATTAAATACATTTTTAAATGTTTCAACATCTCCGCATTATTTATATCACCGGGAAGATCTTGTTGTCACTTAAAACTGTCATATAATTTATAAAAACAAGTCAACCATTTTTATTGTCATTCATAACCCTTGTAAAACTAGTGTCTTCTAGTGTTCTTATATATCATTAGGATTTTTTATTGAAAATAAATCCCTACCTAAAAACGGGCAATATGCTTCCAACAAAACCTACTCCGGTCTTCATATTTAATTAAAATTTGATTTCTAGATATTAAATTACCACAAATATTGTCAATATTTTCTATGCATGATAAAATTGAAATTATTTTATCATTTTTGGAATCGATAATTAGTTTAAATAACTTTTATAAAATTTTTTATTAGTAATGGTGTAATTAAACTACTTTTGACATATTAAAATTTAAATTTGCATTTAAATCTTTTCATGAGCATATTGCTGCGAAACATTTAAAGAACCATTGGAGCATCTTTTTAAAATACATTAAGGTTTAAATTTGAAATATTTAGTTATATCAGTTTTAAAATTATTTGAAAAGTAAATACTGGGCTCGAGATAACACTCTCTAAAAAAGAGTTATTTAATATTAGGAACTTAGAATAAATGTTTTACAAACTTAAATATTCAGATACAAGACTTCAATCTTCATTTTATTTCATCTAATGTAAAAAATTCCTATCAAAAATTTTATGAAAAAAATTAATTAATTCTTATATCTAAGAAAAAAATACATCCAAATTAAAAATTATCGTAAAAATTAATCTTCATTATTATTATTTTTCGGATATAAATATACTTTGATTTCTTGAATAAATTAAATAAAACATATATTTTAATACAATCAGGTGTTTCAATATGTGGTATTCATAAATAGAGTAGAGACAAGGGGAGGAGATATCTTTGGCAAATTTAAAAGTTTTCATAAATATCAATTCAAGATGATAAAAATTATACATCTAACCCCCTCCTACAATGCCTCTACTCCCCCAAAATTGAATAAAATATCTCAATAATTTTCAAAAATAATAATTGAAATTTTTATATAAAGAACAATGAAAGAAAAGAGAGTTCAGACCCAATATAATGTTTAGGAAAATATAACAAAGTCATATTCCTGAAAAAATTAAGCCTAAACCCAGTAAGATTTATGAGAGGGCTGCCACCTCAACCATCAAATTATTTTTTTAACGTGTAGGAGCATTGCCGTTATTTTAAGTTGATAGTACCGATGCCCAGGGCATGAAGTAAATCGCAAAATAGTAACCCTTAACACATTTATGGATATATCTTCTAACTATAAAATGATATTTAGAAATATAGGGAATTTTTTATTTTATGCATTGATTATAGAGCTGTTATTATAATTTTATTTTTAATATGATTATCAACAAAATTGTTATCGATAAAAAGAAAATTACCTACCACAGTCCATTTGGTATCTTCTAATATAAATATATATTTTATTTATGAATTTAGACATCCAAACATAATGATATTGACAACCTCTAATTTAAGCGATGTCTTGGATATAGCTTTCCTTGATAGGACTGATTTGAAAATCTACATAGGAGTTCCATCTGTTGATGCAATATTTCACATTTATAGAACTTGCATGATTGAATTAATGAAAGTTAATTTTTCTTATTTTATTTATAATAGATGCATATTATGATTCTTTAGTAAAATATCAATTAAACTATTCATTGCTTCATAATAAAAAAGTAAGACGTTTTTATAAATATAACGATTACTGAAAGTTGGCCCCGGCGGGGGGGGGGGGGAAGATGGTTTACAAATATCTTAAATATAATAACGAATCTTTTTTTTATTATTAATATCTATACAATAACCCATTTTGCGCTGCACACAATATTTATTCGCTTTTTTGTGCTACATATTTTTGAAAAATAATTGACTTAATGTTCTTTTTCCCACGGTTACACGTCAAATTTAAGGGGAGGGGCAATTCGGTGCACGACAAGGCGCGAAGCCTTGGCGTGGTGATAAATCTTTTCAACAACCACCCACCCTATTCTCCACCAGTGTAAAAATCCTTATAAGGCGCTGAGAAATATTTTAATTTTGTCGGAATGAATATTCTCATCTACATTCTGAGCAGTTAATTATTTGTTTAATATAAATCTTTGGCAAATTCTCATTTGATTTTTACCAAATCGCACATCAGCGTTTATCGGCCGATTTTCATTTTGGGTAAAGAATATATCATAAATAATTTCTCAAACAAAAAATAATTATTTTAAAATTCCTCGTATCAAGGGTATTTATTATTCGGGACAGCATTATATTTTCCAAAGAATTTATGAATGGTATTTTTTTAAATATGAGATTTGTTTCGGAATCGAGCGACATCTTTAAATATTTACCTACATATTATTTAAAGTATAGTAATTCTAAACATTGCATACCAAGCATGGATAAATAACTTTGCTTCTTTTGATAGCCTAGTTATTTTTATCTGTTCCTAAACATGAACTTTGCTTCTTTTGATAGCCTTGTTATTTTTATCTGTTCCTAAACATGAACCGATAATCGTTATGCTTAGAATCTGTTTGAAAGCGTTCTTAACTCAATAATTAAAATTGTAATTTTTCGACATTTATTAATTGATTTATTCATTTTTACTCTCTTCAGCAATAACTATAATAATGTTTATAAAATGAATAAAAAAATTAGGCCCAAATCGATATCATTTTGTTGGATCAAGTTTAAGCTTAGTAATGTAGTAATTAGTGCGAAAAACTTTCAATATTTTTCATCTTTTTTTACTCATGTCAAATATTAAACTCGGTTCATGTAGCTTTTTTAAATGTATCAACTCTTTTGTGAAAACTGGTATTAATATTTTACAATTTTTTTCCTCATACTCTTTAATCTCGTTCTATCGCTATCATCTTTAGCAATAATGATCTAGTAGGATTGTCTTACGACTAATGCGCATCCCTATTTACTGTAGAAGGGTTATTTTAACACATACAAATATCCAAAACCAGTATTGGCAACTCTGACAAATGACTGGCCATTTTTTTCCTCATACTCTTTAATGTCGTTCTATCTTTATCATCTTTAGCAATAATGATTTAGTAGGATTGTCGTACAATAATGCGCATCCCTCTTTGCTGCGGAATGGTTATTTTAACACATATAAATATCCAAAACCATTGGCAACTCTAACAAATGATTGGTTAAATTCAGTCAATTGACCAGTCAATACAGAAGAAATTTAACCTGGTCAAATCAGGACAAATACTTTAAAAAATCTAAAGAAAATATGTATGAAAGAAAATACTATATAAATACATGTATTCACAATGCTGATTTATTTGGTCCCCAATATCAATGGGAGCATCTTACAAGTATTGAATTAATGAAATATGTGATATAATACAAGAATTAGGCATTTTATAAGGGAGTGATAATCAAAATTATAGATTCATTTGTCTTAAAAACATTTACTTGGTTACCGTATTTCACCATTGTAATATTGGTACTGACCAAATCGTATATTTCACCGGTCAAATTTACAACCCTGACTAAAACCTTATTTTATTTTTTATCTAACCATGGGTAATTTTTTAAAACTAATATTGATCTCTGTTTCATATATCAGGCCAATGCCAATTTTCAGTTTAAGATCTATGTAAATTAAATAAAATTCCGATTTTTCTAAATTAAAATATTACATATAACATATGAATGTCTGAGCTAATAGAATAAACTTTAATTATATATTTTCACTTTATATTTTGGGAAAACTTCTTCATCATTGAATGATAATGAGTTTAATCATAATGTTAGAGTTAGAGTCTATTTTGTTAGGATTAGGTTTAAAATTAAAAAGGAAACTATTTTATTATAGGAAAAAGTATTGTAAGAAAATAAAAACATTTTTAATCAATATTTAATAATTTCGGTAGAAAATTAAAAAAACATATAGAAAAATGTGATAAGAAAGCTAAATATAAAAATGTAGTGAACTTACTTTATCTCAAAGAATGCACGTATGAACGTTTTACAAGTTGGTGAAATAAAAAAGGTTGTTTAATCAAGATTTACAGTTAAAATGAACGTAGAAGAATTTTGCTCATCATTAAAATTGAAAATCGCTAGTTTTTTTTGAACTTTGAATTTTTACTTACTTCGGGACCAAACTTCAGGCCCACCACATGTCCAAAAATGAAATTTTATAATCAAAAAATTCAATTTTCCTCTTTTGTATAAGTTTCAAAATGATAAAGCAATCATTATTAAAAACTCTTTTATTTTTATAAATATTTGAAAAGTAAATCCATAATTAGTATATTTTTCTTATTTAGCCCAAACCAAAATTATTTAACGAAAATCTTCCACAATCGAATTATTTTTACCTTGAACCCTGTTCGGGACCCTTCACTCCCAAAAAGGGTCCCTTAAATATTAGCTACTACACTACATATTGAGCAAAAGTTAAGTAGAATAATATTCACAAATAAAAAATTGAAAATAAAATATTTTTTAGGAGTAATTTTTCAATTAAAAAAAATTATTTTTTGAAATACTTGAGTTTATAAATAATATTTACAATTATTTTATTTTAAATGTGCAAATTTATTGTGATTATATGATATGTTCATATTTAATGATTAAACACGTAGGTCGGAATAATAAAACCAAAATTGACATTGGTGGACTTAAAATGTCTCCGAATAATGCATTTCCAAGAACAATTGTCGACGACTCACAGCATAAGGCTATATGATATCAGTAAAATAAGCGAAGGATTCAGTGGTAGGACCCTAAGAAAAATACCGTTTTTAGCACATGCACTATATCTTAAAGTATTAAAATAATTGTTTAGTTTATTTTAAAATATTTTATAATAATTTTTAAAAATTTATTAGAAAAATGTGTGCACGATGGATGAATATTTAAAAGCCCTAGAGTCCACCATCTGGCTTAAGCACAAAGAAGAAAAAACATCATCGAAAAAAGAATGTTTATAAATGATATTTCAGCAAGTGTAATTTTTTAGTATATTCTCTGTGACCGTGAATTTTTTAGATTAAGTTATTTGTTAAAATAAAATATATTTTAAATAACTTCTTATTTAATGACAAACGCTCAATAAAAATAATATAAAATAAGCATCATTTAGCTCAAATAAAAAAACTAGATTGTGATATTGCTGATAAAAGAACTGAAACGCTCAAATTTAAAAATTGAATCTTGCTTTTTCAATGATTAGATTATTTTATTATATTATAAAACGTTAAATAAGGCTTTATGGTAACAACGATAGAGTCGTTACTAATGGCCTTAACTTTTTGAGGACGCCATTCGTTACTTGTTTCAAAGTAACTAGTATCTCGTTTCTTTTTTTGAGTAACAGTAATGCAAAACGATATTCGCTACTTTAAATTTTTTCTTAAAAAATATAGAAAATATAATTATATTTTATTTTATTATACATTATATTATATTTTTTATTTAAAAATAATTTAAGCCTAGTTTTTATCAATGATATTACATTTTTGTTGTTGAATTTTATACAGTCAAGATTGTTTATCTAATTTGTATTCTCTAATATTATGATTTATTTTATAAACAATATGTCAATATTACTTATTTCTTCAGCCAAATATGATTTAACTTTGCCCTGACGGGACAATTAATTATCACCAAGGAAGGTAATTTACTATATTTTCCTAATTATCCACTGAGGGGGCAAATATTTTCACCAATAAATTAATTTTCTATATTTATTTTATTTACCTACTGAAGTATATTCTCACCAAGGGAGCTAATTTTTTTTTTAAAATTTATTCTATTATTACCAAGTGAGCTTATTTCATTTTTCCTATTTACCTACTAAGGGGGCGAATATTATCACCAAGTGAGCTAATATAATTTATTATATTTATCAGAGACCTGCAAGCCTGTCCGGGTATACGGGTCGGGCCAATTTTAATTTTTTAAATATACATGCTGTTAAAATATTTTTTAAAAAACCCGGCTGGGTCGTATATCTCATACCCGATTTTAAATCGCTATTATTAGCTATAAAAATTAATAAATGTAATATATTTATTGAAAATCCAGGGTTGGCCGAGTTTTTTAAAATAAATCCAGGCAGAACCTGAAAGTATAAACTTGGGGCCATAGTTGGCGGAAAAATATTCCAAAAAAAATCCGGGCCCTGCAAAATATCTCTGCAGTTCTCTTAAAGGGGCGAATATTATTTTTTTCTATATTTATTTTATTTGCCCACTGAGGAAGCTAATATTATTACAAAGAGGGTAAATATTTTATTCTTTATAAATACTATTTACACACTCGGGAGGGGGGGGGGAGAACTATTACCACCAAGTGGGTAAATATTACTAAGGGGGTAAATATCATTTATTCTTTATAAATTCTATTTACAAGGGTGTAACTAACCTCAGCCATTTGGATATATTTTTATCAATTCTTATCTCATTAAGGGTAGAAAAAAGATTCAAGGATTTTATTGTCGTAACTGCAAAATCCAGGTCCTTTATTGATTTTTGAGGAGCAATTTGAATTCCATTAATGTAATCCAATAAATATTAAGAAGGCAATTGTTTCATATTATAATTAATTAGAAAAATATATTTTGAAGACTAGCTGTTGCGGTTTTTTCTTTTTTTAGACTCGTGTTTCAAGATATAAAGAACCATCACGTAGTTATGATTAAAGGTCTGCATCCAATGTTTTAAAAAAATTTAACCCTCCCGCCCAACCCTCCCATAGTTTTCAAAAAAATATATACCCACCCGCCCCGCCCATTTGTCTAAAATTTCTTATCCGCCCGCCCATTAGTATAAAATTTTTTACCCGCCCCACCATTATTTATAAAAAATTTTAACCCAATCCACTTATAAAATTTAATAATGGCCATTCTTTCAATTTTTTAAGCATATAATAAAAATATTTCAGCATTACACCTCTACAAAAAGTTTATAATTTAGGAAATTAATTTAAGAATAAAAAAAATATTCAATTTAAATTATTAACAATTTATTTGACCAAATAAGAATATTTATGAAAAAATATAAATATAAAATTGATATTATATGTAATTATAATGCAAAAATAATAATGAATCGACATTTTCTGGATTCAAACACCTTCTTTGTTCTAAAAACCTTCCAGCAATGCTAAATCCTCGTTCAGAAGAAGCACTAGTTGCAGGAATCGCCAATATTTTTCTTGCTAATCTTGATAGCTTTGGTAAATCTCTTGTCGTTTCCACCAAAATAGGATATCCATCTGAAGTATATCCCCTTCCTCAAGTGAGATCCAGATGTCCCGTATGCAATATATATAAAACTCTTTTTTTTAAGTGAGTACGAAGATTAATCTGCCATTCCAAAATAAAACACCGTGCTATTTTCGTAATCGTTTCATGCTATTCGGAATAGTAACAGAACAAAATACTATACAGTTTTATAAACCAGACCTCGAGTTAATATTAGAAACAGATGCATCTAACCAAGGATTTGATGATAATGGTAACAAATTTCTAATAGCTTACACCTCAAGAACTTTACAAGCTGAATAGAATAGACAAAAAAGCAAAAGCAATAATAAAATACGTAGAAAAATCTCATAACTATTTGTATGGACGAAAATTTAAAATTTGAACAGACCACAAACCTTTAATAAAGATATTTGGTAATAACAGAGATTTAAGCTCATTAACAAACCAAAGATTATTACGTTGGGTTTATAAATTATCTGCATATGATTATAATATAATGTACAAGAATGGCGCTAATAATATAATTGCAGATCCTTTATCGCGAAACCCAATAGGGAAAAATGATGATAGAATAACAAGTGAAAATAAAACAGTGAAATATATAAGAAATCTTACTATGATACATTAACTCTATCAAGAAAAGAAATGGTACAAATATACAAAATCAAGCATCAGAATTTCAAGCTTTTAAAACATGAATAGATGAAATAGAAAACGATGACGGTATTTCATTTTGGAATGGCAGATTAATCATTCCGTACTCACTTCAAAAAAGAGTTTAGCAGATATTGCATAGGGGACATCCGGGTATTACAACAATGAAATCCATTACGAGACATTATATATGGTGGGAAAAATTAGATAAAGATGTCGAAAAACTAGTAAAGTGTTCTTCAATCAAAAAAACGATTGGTACAATAAAAAGAAAGATTGTTACTGATCACAATTAATTATGATTTTCTTTAGTTTGTTTTTTAACAAAAATTTTAAATTTCCTTAACTCGCCAGCCCATTGTTTAAATTTCTTAACCCGCCCGCCCGCCCTTAGTTTCAAAATTTTTTAACCCGCCCGCCTGCCCATTTTCATAAATTTTTTAACCCGCCCGCCTGCCCATTTTCATAAATTTTTTACCCGCACATCCCGCCCACTTAGATAGGCGGGTGTGGGCGGGCGGGCCGAAACCCCACCCAATGCAGACCTCTAGTTCTGATTAAACAAATCGATTTTAAACTTATAAAAAAGGAAGTGATATTTTTTGAGACAGTTTAACATTTTTAAATAAGGAATGTGATAATTTCTGCACTTTTTTTGAAAAACATTTGCACTTTTTGGTCCCAGAATGGCTAAACTAATTTTAATTTGATGGTGCCCGGTTACTACCGTGCTTCCTCCTAGTTACATGCAATATATAGTCCCTTTTTCGATATATAAAGTCATTAAATTTGTGAAAACTAGTCCTTTAGAAATCGTTTTTTTTTCATCTTTTATATTTTATTATATGATATCATAACCACAAAATATGCATATAATTCAATCATTTAAGATTATAAATTGCAATCTAATAAAAAAAACGATTAAATACAGAATCAAAATCTGAAAGCAAAGTTCTTTAGCTATCATTGACTCTCCATTTGGAAAGGTCGGTGCTAGCAAGTCTCGAACAATCAATGAAGGGATTTCTATGATTTAATAAAATTTATTTCGTAATTAATCGCAAAAATCTTAACTTGGAATATAGTTTACTTTATTCAGAATGAATTGAACATTTATTATCTAGCGAAGGTCACAGTTCAGCCCCGTTCGATCTAGTAAAAACCAAATCTAACTGTAAACCAAAGTTTAAAAAATCTGAACAGTCAATAACAATATAAAGACCGAAACCAATCGTAGTCCAGACCGATTTTATTGTGTTAAACACCTATAATACCTAAATAAAAATATATTATTACTAAAATTGAAAAATTTCATCTCATTTTCAAATATAATAAATATTATATCCACAGTAAAAAAAACATGATATTTAATTTAATGGTATTTTATTTCTCGCAATCGTAATAAGTTAAAGGTGAAAAAAGGGGAAAAGAATGGTTAAAAATGACTTAGAATTAAAGGGAGATTGCAAAAAGTTTAAAAAAAAATAAAGAAAGAAAATTAAAAATAACCAAAATTAAAAAAAAAATAAGTTATTTCAGATTTAATAAACCCACAATAAAAATATAATAAATTTTCTTTTTTAAATAGGAATTTTTATTTTTTTGATTGAATCTTTCCCTTTTTATGTAACTTTTCCTTTTTTGGTCCAACTTTTTCCTTTTTTGATTGGCAGTTTTCTTTTTTAATCAGAACTAGTCTTGTTAAATGGCTGGATTTGAGCCGATTTTTAAAAAGGGCTAACTTAATATTTTGTCTAGAAAGATATTGCGTATGCCTGGATATTTTGTTTATTTATGGCAGAAAGGTTTGGATATCTATAAACGAATTCTCGAAGCTTAGCCAATATTTTTCAGGATAAAATATTGAGTTAAATCAGAAATTTTTCTTTGCTGATCATATTTTTAAATTTTGAATTGAATTGATAATTTTATTTAGAAAAGTTTGTTTCAGATAAATTATCAATTTTTGTGTTCAATATTTTTTTAAAATGAAATATCGAAAATTTTTTTTCAAGATAATAAATTTCGCCAGGCTGCCGCCAATCTAAACAGCGGCGCATCTTCATCATATAGGTTTAAAGATATTTAATTTTTTTAATTCGTATTTCAGATTTGAAAGAAATTTAGTACAAAATAAAATCATCTAACTCATCTTTTTGTTGCTCATTAGATTTTACACCCATTTTTAAACATTTGAAAGCCAATAGCATAAAAGGGTGACCTAAATTGACTTGCCATAGCTCACAGATTCAGATTTTTTGATGATTTTGGCCACATATTTAAATTATTCTTAGCAAAAACTAATGTAAAATAATTGGCTTGTTAGACAATATAGTAACAGAAGTGCATGGGGAAAATTAGCATAAATAATTTAAAATTTATTATACCTAAATGAATCTACTAATAAAAATATGTTCCTCGGTATCATGGGAATATCATCGGCATTCTGACATATAATTTTGGCCAAGCTGATTTTTCTTATCTCTTTTAATTGATCTTTAAATAAAATATATAATAGTTATTGAATTTAGTGGTGAATGCAGAACTATCGATATAAGTAGCTCTAATTTTTCCTGATAACGCGATCGCGTTAAATATATAAGGATTTAAAGGTGATCATATAAATTAATAAAAATTTGAAGCAAAATGACCTCTGGTAAAGACTCGTCGAGGGCGGATATTTTCATACCAAAACGAATCCCCAAATTTGAGAGCCTTGAATTGAATGCCCAATATGCAAGCAAATGTTGGTCCTAACATTGCACCCTTAAGTGGGAATTCTGATAATCCTAATGGAAATAAGTCCATATCATTGACACTTCGGTAAAGATTTCTGACTACTCCTATAGTGGAGTTGGGTATGACTCCGACCAAATCAATGAAAGAGTTTACGGGAGAAAGCCCGCAAGCTTTTCTATACTGTATATACCCTGGAATCCCATGATCTCGGCCCCTCATTGTGTTTAGGGCTGGTAAGTCCATACCTGCCATTTTTTAATAAAGGTTTTTGTAAATTTATTATTTTGCTAATAAATGTTAAAACGAAAAAAATCAAAGTTAATTTTAATTAAAATTTAATTTATTTTTAAAGGTGAGACCTTGTTAAAAAATAAAAGTTGATATATACTGAAAAAGCAAAAGAATATCAACAGTTAAATATACGAATGATATTCTAGTTTAAAAGCATAAAAAATATGATAGCTAAGACCGTTAGATATTACCAAATTTAGCTTTTGCCAATTCAAACAGATGATTCCTCACTTCCCCTGTTATAATTTGATCCAACTTTTGTGCGTTGTCAAAAATTAAACTTCTCAGCAAAGAATCGAACACGTTGAAATCGCTGAATTGATACAGCAAAAGTGGATTCAGCATTGCCTAATTTAGAGATTTTTAAATTCATAAAAAATTAACACAAATCATTTTTTCGCATTTCATTTATCATATTTAAAAAAAAACGTATTAGAAACAACTGATACTAGTTTTCTCTTTGTAAAACTTGAAAAATAGGACTCAACTTAAAATTTACTTCTGCAACTTTCTACCATTTATAAATTATATTATATGCATAAATAAGTATATAGTATGTGCAAACATCTCTCAGAAGCAATGGCTCAGCTAATGGTGTAAAGCTGTCATCGAGAAAATTTAATTGCATAGGTATCAGGCTATGACCAAACCTGTAAGCGGCAGTCGAAAATTCGGTGTGGACTGTAGCCTCAATTTCAGAATCATATCCCGCAAAATATCCACACGAGTTTAATGTGAGTCCGAAGTCGTTCATTATATCCTGGCCCACAATTATTGGCAAAAACTCGTTAAATTGGATGTGCTGAATAAATGCTCCTATAATTTTCCTTTATTTGGGGTCGAGATATTATAAAGAATTTTAAAGAAAATCTAATATTATTTATATTTCTCATTTTAATATTTACTGTTCTAAGAATTTCTATGGTTTGTTTTTATATTTTTCTATGTCTGAGAAAAATAAATCTCTGGAATATCCATTTAAAATTTTATAATTTACCTCAATAAATTAAAAGTATATGCTATTTAATTGCTTTAGTTGTTTCTCATTCAAAAAAAATAAAAATCCTAATTTAAAAAAAAGTCCCGATCAAAACGGAGAAGAAAGAAAGGTCCTTATCAAAAAAAGGAAAGGTTTAGATCAAAAAAGGAGGTCTGTTCACAAAAATATAGGTATCCATCAAAAAGAAAGGGGCCAATTACAAAGAAAAAAGTCCGATCAAAATGGAGAAAAATCCGATCAAAATTTATGCACAAAAATTCCAAAAGATTTATAAAATATTTTTTACAAAAAATGATTTATTTAGATAAAATTTAATCAAAAATCCTGTTTAAGTAATCTTAAAAAGATCTTCATTTAAAAAAATCTTTGAAGATCTTTTATTTTGAAGTGCATTTTAAACTGCAAAAAATATAATAAACAATGATTTTGACTTTTTGAATTAGAATTTTCCTTTTTTGATTGAACATTATGAGGTTTTTGATCAAATCTTTTTCTTTTTTGATCGGAACTCTTCCGTTTTTGTTCAGAACTTTTCCTTGAACTTTTTTTTATTAAGTTTTTATTTTTTAAATGGCAAACAACTAAAGCAATTAAATAGCTTATACTTTTAATTTATTTAGGTAAATTATAAAATTATTCCAAAAAAGATTTCGGAATATTTTTTTAAAAAAATAATCCACTCCGGGCCGTGCAAATGGTACCTCTGCAGTCTCTGATATTTAATAAGGCCGCCACGATAAGATCATTAAAGTATCAGAAATTATAAATCAACTTACTCACATGAATGGTGTGTCTCTTCCCAACAAATGCGAATTTTATTCCTTTATCTATTCCCCAAAAATGTGAATTTTATTCACTTGTCTCTTAAATCTCAACAAGTAAATTTTATTCGCTTAACGAAAACACTGAACCTCCCGATAAATTTTTAATCACCGGCATAACAAATTTTATTCATCTGAATTAATCAATAGGCAGTTAAAAGGCCAATAATAGTTTTAGAAAGAAATTTATAAATCATATTATGGATTCTATAACATTTATAACTGCTCCAAACCATATGATTATTAACAATGTTTATTTCTAACAAATAATCATTTCGCTAAGGAAGCAGAATATCTGAATTCATGCATGCAAGATTAGGATTTGCCCTTAACGTAGCATTTTGTAAATACCTATTTTAAAATTGCGCAAATGAATTATCCTTCTCTCACCATCATCTTAAAAATTTATCAGGATGGCCATGTAAATATATCAAAAATCGATTCAAATAATACAGGTGAGATTTCATATATACATCAGCTGGAGTTTGAAGGGATTGCAAAACTTTACCAATTAAGAGATTAAAATAACATTGGTTTTCGATTAGGCTGATAAATTGTAAAATCAGACATGCACTCTTAGTAACACCCATGTTCACAGCCTATGCCACCATCTTCTGTAGAGTCTCTTTTCAAAGGGCAAACTGCCCAGGCACCAATCCTCAATAGAATGTAGAAAGCCACAAGTATTCCTTCCTCACTAGAACGCTCTTCCTCCGACAACTAAACCAGCCAAGATGGGATGAGCCTAATACCTTGGATAACTTAATAATAATGGAGATTGTGATGTCATCCTCATTTAAATAGGGCTATATTTTTGTCACGGCAGCCCGTTAAGCCCCTTATATTCTTTTTCCGGTTTCATCCAGCTTTGCCCGACCCTGACTAGACCATATGAAGAAAAACGATTATTTTATTTGAAGGATAGATAAATATATATAATGAAATTTACCCTTAATACAAATAATTACTAAAACGACTAATTTAGTAGACTAAAACGACTAATTTAACGGTTAAATCGATTTATTTAATCGACTAAGTGGACCCATTTAATCGGCTAAGTCAGCCCATTTAGTCGGCTAACTTGACCTATTTAGTGATGAAAAGATTTTTATTAAATTCCTGAATTATTCTTTAACCTATTCTTTGCAATTACAGTTATATCTGCTTAAGTGTCCGTTAATAATGAGTAACCACTTTGAAAAGGTTTTTATTAATTTTTTTTTAAAAAAATTTAAATTCTGTTTCCTGTTGTTTTTTTTGTAATAATAACTCCTTAAGTGAGCGCTTTAAAAAAGTTAGTGTCCATTTTGAAAAAATTTTTAAATGATATTTTAGGCTGTTTTTGTAAAGCTTTTAAGTAACCGCTTTAAAAAGTAAGTGACTAATTAAAAATAATTTTTGTTAAAAAATTTTTAAATTATAATTTCAACTGTTTTTTTTAATTTTATCTACAAACGTGACCGGTAAAAGATAATAAATGAAAAAAAATTGTGTTATTTTGAGTCAATATTTTCTTCTCCAAACCCTGAACCCGGTCCCGAACCCTTTTTAAAATTTTGTTCCTGAAACTGACCAGGACCCTAAACCTTTTTTTAAAGGAGTCCCACACTGAAATGTAATTCAGAGGCTGATAAATTTCATTCAAAAACTTTTTCCATATTTTTTTAAATGAAAATTAATATAATGTTTTGGAAGTAACTTTATTAATAATATATTAAAAGGGGTTACAAATGTCATTTCTAAATTTGAAAGATAAATTTTGAAAAAAAGTTATATATTTCAATATATATATTTTTTTCTAGAATATAATAATCCTAAATTGAATTATAATTTTATAATTATATTTATTAATTTATTTGATGAATTGAATTTCTCTCCTCGTATAAATAACCAAAAAAATACAAATTAATTTTTGAATATAATTTGAATGTTAAATCCGATGTTTTGAATGAAGAAATTCATTCCTACTTCAAATTTAATTAATAATTATTAAGATCAAGAATTATCGGGAAAATTGTAAATTATCAAAACTAAAATATAAAACTTGTGTTAGGATTAGTTAAGACTAGGCTAATATTAAAAAAATTTATATAGGAAAAGAAGGAATATACCTGGTCTCTTGATAGATGGTTTCATCCGACCACTGTCTATTAAGCTTATTTAAGTGATCAGCTATCCTGTTATGTTCCCTAGCAAAGATTGTTTGCAATATCGTCAAACCAATATTTTCGTTCGCTCTCAGATCACCTATTTTTAAGAATTTTTTAAAAGGGGTTTGTTATCAGGGTCTTATTTTTATATAAATAATTATATACATATAATGTCAATTTATTTTTTTAAAAATTTGTGATTGAAAGAAAATTTTATTATTAAAATTTGCAACGTCAATTAAATTTTTTTAAAGTTTTTACATTTGTTTACAAAAGGAAAAAGTATATTTTGTTTAAAACACTTTTTACTTAACGTTTTTGAAATTATTGATATTTTTTTGGAAATTACGTTTTTTTTTAATTACTAATATTTTTTGTGAAAATAAACTCTTAAAAATTTATATTTTATCATTAATATTTTTTTTAATGATGTATTTGGAAAATAAAATACTCGAAAATATAACAAAGTTGTCAATTTTTAAAATATCCATAGTATTAAAGTAATTGAGTTAAGTATATTTCGGAAGAAATTCTAGGTTGTTGTCAATAAGTATCAGTTTTTTTATTGAAGTCAGTTTTTTTAGTGTTGACCGTGTGACCAAGATCTGAATTCTGGTTAAATTAAATATTTAGACGAATAAATTATTACAATCAGGATATAAAGGTAAAATTTTTGTCTTATATTTAATTTAGTGCATACACAATGCAATTTTTTTTTGTAAATATTTCTTAGAATTAATTTGCAAAGTAATTCGAATTTTGTAAGAAAATTTTTTGATTAATTCGGTTGCGGAAGATAAAAACAAAATTTTTTTTAATATTTTAAATTTTTGTAAAAACGTAATTTTAAAAGTAAACTTTTAATATGAGATGGGTTTGTATTTTAATAAGTATAATGAGCCTAGTTTTTTAAAATAAGATTTCAATATATAAGGATCTGGGTCATCAAATTTTGCATAAAAACATTTATGAACTGGATATAGGAAATCAATTAATTACGTTAGGATTACTATTTATTTATTTTATTTATTTTTTTTTATTTTTTTTTTAAATTTAATAAACTTTATTCGGTAAAAAAGTTAAAACATGAACATGAACATTTATATACACTATTGAATTAAAAATATATATTAAAAACAAAAAAATCAATATAAAAACATATAATTAAAAGAAGGAAAATTAAGAAAAAAAAAAATTAAAAAATTATTTAATAAAAAAAAAAGAAGAGGGATATCTAATTAGGTGTGGTCCACGGGGCTTAATGACCCATGAATGGATATACAGTTTGAACGACAGATTTCGATTGAAATCCTTTGGCGGAGGTAGAAACCTTCTTTCGGATCACCTGTGATTAATCGTAACCTTTGCCCTATTGTTTTGAATAATTTTAAGGCTTGGGGTCCGAATGATCCACAGGTGTCTGAGACTACCGGAGCGAATAAAATATTATTAAGGTGGCAATATTTATTTGTTTTTTGTATTCTCCGCTTTTGAGATGGAGTTCGCAGAAAAAGATCTGGCAAAACGATCAACGCAGGTATAGTCCCAAGCGAGAGGTAAACCTTGGTTCCAAGGGACTAACGTCAAACCATCCGGTTTGGTTTAATTATCGGAGCTAAGACCGGTAGGTTCCAGTGTGGAGGGAGTATTTGTAGATCTCAGCGTTCTATTGATTATTGAATTAATGGCATAATGTCTAGGAAGTCTGCCTTTTGAGAAACGACAGTGTAGGGGGTGGTGTCCTAGACTATCAATGTGAGATTCACATAGGACACAAGTCGTAGGGGTTACGATATCGCAGCCTAAGCGAAGGCCTATAGCTATTCTGAGTTCTTCGTTAATAAGTAGTAGGCCTGAGCTAGGGATAGTTTCTAACCATTCATATCCAAGATGGCATATGGGTGGAGCTGGATTTATATTTATTAAGTTTATATTTATTATATATTACATTGAAATTGTTATTCGGGAAATGTACCTTTATGATGACAAAGGTATAGGAATTTGAGTGTCGGCTGACTGTTTGAAAAAAATTTCGGATTTGAAAAGTAGTTTAAACGGGGTTTTAAATGAAATCAAGAACCGCAGACCAGAAATGGTGGAAACGATGAAATATAATAACGATAATCGTTCGGAATTTGTGGAGTGATCTGTGGTTATCCTCCAGGAATTGAAAGAAATGAAAGATGTGATCAAGATTATATATCAGGGATGTACATAAATTGATTCATTTGATCAGTAATAATGGCAAAGGCCAGATATGTGGCAGTAATGGTTCAGATGGAAAGACTGTTTCCGATGAAAAAAATAGTTTTTCGGGGAACAAAAAAATTGATGATGATTTGAGATGTACCCGCTGTGGTTTTAAGGGCCACAAGGTAGAAACGGTATTGTTAAAGAACAAAATTTCGTGAAGGTTTTCCGTTAAGGAAATCGTTATTGGAAAATTAGAATGTTAGAAAAATTTCTGGTACTAACACGAATAAATTTGAAGTTTTACAATCAGATTATAGTGGATCGTTTGTTTTAAGTGTAATAAATCGGGGCATGTAGCCGTGAACTGTGCCGAAAACTGACTATATGATTGCAGGTGTAATCATATGGTGGGTAAGAGACCGAGAAGTCAAAATTTTAATAAATAGTATAATGCTAAAATGAGATATGATTCTCATGAAAGCAATGGTAATAGAAATTTTTTTTATCATGATGGTAAAATTGAAAATATTAGTTATAATTATAATTCGAATAAAAAGAGTTATAAGAATTTTATGGGAAAAATATCCTAGTGATATTGTTAAAAAATATATCAATGTTATTAAAAAACCTCTAAATTCCGAGTTGAATTTATGTTCAAATGTGAATTCTAATGAATGATGTTTCAGATAGAATAAATATTGATCAGTCAATTAGAACATGAGATTTTAATGGCTGAGAGATTAATCGAACAATGTCCTTGTCCAAGGGTTAAAGTAAGAGTCTCGAGGGACATTGATATGTTGTTCGATACGGGGGCTAGGATTTCGATAATGTCTAGGGAAAATTATTATAAGTATTGGCCTAGGGGTACACTCAAAAATGAGTCTATGTGTGTCAGACATTTCGATGGTGAAATTGTATTTTTTCTTGATTTATGGGTGGTAAAGAAAAATGTTGAAATCTTTATGAGATGGGATTGGATTACCAAGCTAGGTCCTCCCAATAATCATTAAATATTGATGCAATAAATAATGATTTGGTAATGAATAAGCCTAGCTGAAAATTATGGCTGATGATGTCGTAATAAAATTTGTGAAATAGAAAGGACATATTTAACCAGCGAGGAAGGGAATTCACTCGTTAATGCTGGTATGAAATTTCCACGGAATTAATGGTTGACAATAATATTAAAATTAATGAAAGGCAAATTGTTGCTATTGAAATTAATGAATTACATAAAATGTGTGAAAATATATCTATTTTAATGGAGAAATATGAGATAATTTTTGAGAACACTTTGGGATTTTAATAATTATCAAGTGGGTGTAAAACTAAAAGAGGATTTTCACCCATTTTTTTGGCTTGTCGAAAAGTTCTTTTTGAATGGAAAAGGGAAATAGAAGACGAATTGGACAAATGGGTGGAAGATGGAATAATTATTCCCATTGAATATAGTAAATGGGCCACGCCACTGGTTTCAGTTAAAAAATCAAATTGAAAATTGAGACTATGTGCTGATTTTCGAGTAACTGTAAACCATTGGGTTGTGGAAGTTAAGTATTCATTACCCAGAATCGAGGAAATTTTGGCCAATTTAAAGGGGGCAAAATTTTTTTCCAAAGTTGATTTTTCTTCGGCTTATTTACAGTTACCTTTAAGGGAGGAAATTAGTAAATTGTTAACAATAACGACGCCTAAAGGATTATTTTTTCCCTTTTGTAGATTACCTTTTGGGTTAAGTGTATCAGCGCCTATTTCCCAGCGTACAATGACATCGGTTTTCCAGTGTTTGGAAAGCGTATTTTATTATATGGATGATGTGTTGGTCACTGGGATGACGCCAGAGCAACATAATCAGCGTCTTGAGGAAGTTTTTAGGAGAATTCGTGATAAGGGCTTGAGAGCTAACAAGGAAAAAAGTGTTCTTGGGGTAACCGAAGTTATCTATTAAGGACATCAAATTAATGGAATAAAGGTGAAACCTCTGGATAAAAATTTGAAAAATATTTCGAATATAAAGCAGCCAACTAATAAGGCGGAAGTTCAATCGTTTTTAGGTGTGGTTAATTATTATCATAGATTTTTGGATGATTTTGCAAGGATTGCCGTACCCTTATATAAATTATTGCAAAAGGGAGTTCTTTTTAAAGGGGCAGAGGAACAACAAATTGCTTTTGAAACGTTGAAACGAGTAATTGGGAAAGACCCATTTTAGTAAGTTTTAAGAACGATTTAGAAATAATATTAGCCATCTAACAAAGGTGTTGGAGGGGCATAATTGAGTTGATGGTTTGGAAAGACCGATTTTATATTTTTCAAGTTTTAGAGAAGTGCAAACGCAATATTCTGTTATTAAACAGGAAGTGATAGCTGTTATTTTTGGTTAAACCAAATGTAGGGAATATTTAATCGGGAAGAAGTTTGTAATTTATACCGATCATAAACCCTTAATTTATTTATTTAAAAAAGATAATAGGGAATTAATGTTATCTCCCAGATAACAACGATGGTTGGGAAGTCAATGTGGAAATTAGATATCGTCGAGGCAAGGAAAATTGTTTGCCTGATATTTTATCCAGGTTGGGATCGGGTGAAGAAGATCTCGAATTTAATAAAAATAAAGTTATGGCTAATGAGAAAGCATTGGTTTGTTCTCTTTCATATATACTTAAAGGGGATCCATCCTACCAATTGGGAAGATTTTAAATTCAGTACTTTGAAAGATAAAGAATTGAGTCAGATGAAATTATTTTTAAGGGAAAAGAAACCGTGGAGAAATAATGGTAAAAGTTTTAAAAAAATTGAAAATGAATTGTCCGTGGTAGATGATTGTTTAATGAGGGGAAATAGAGCAGTAATTCCTTTGAAATTGTGTGCTAAAATTGTTAATTTATTACATGCTGGACATCAAGGTAGGGATGAAATGAAATATTGGGCTCGTGAATATGTATGGTGGCCTGGTATAGGCAATGATATTGAAAAGATTACAAGGAAATGTTTTCCATTTAATACCTGTGAACCTATGCCCCGTAAAGAGATAGGTCAAATGTGGCCCCGATCAAAGAATCCGTGAGAGCGTCTACGTTGATTTCTTTGATCTAAATAAAAGGTCAGATTTTTTAGTGGTAGATTCATATTCAAAGTGGATAGAATATGCAGAGGTTCACGGTTATACCACAAAAATTGTTATTAGGAAATTTACAGGAGACCCGATTTGGTTTACCTGGCACAATAGTGTCTGATGGTGGCCCATCCTTCATAAGTGATGAGTTTAAACAGTTTTGTGCTGAGTCACAGACCCAACATATTCTTGCTCTACCGTATCATCCCAGCTTGAATGGACAAGTTGAGAGGATGGTAGCGACTGTTAAAAATTGGATTAAAAAGGCTGGTAATCATAAAGATGAGGTGTACATGTCTCAATTATATTACCTTAATTCTCGCAATCGAGAGGGGGTTACGCCTGTGGAGTTATTTTTAGGTAGACGAACACAGGGGTCTTTCGATTTCTTGAAACCAAAAGGCAATGTTAATGTTGGGAGAAAAAGCAGGGGCAAGGTTTTATGTGGGACAAAAGGTCTGGTCTAGGTTATTCGATAATAAGAATAAAAAATGGGAAATGGGAAGAATAATACAGAATATGGGATCGAAATTAAATCTGGTCAATTTGGACAATGGGGTGGTGAGGCATAACGATCACCTCAAGATTAGGATATAAAAAGTAAAAGGAAAAGAGAAATGATTAGAAGGTTTAGGAATTGCTGATAAGGTTATTGATTGATAAATGACCTATGTATATTACGGCTGTAATTATATTGGTTTTTTCCCTTTTTCCTGGTTCAGTTAGACAAGTTCCTTAATGTATAAATGATCTTTTTGGTATTAAGGGATCTGATCCCCCTGGTTCAGTTTAGACAAGTTCATTAATGTATAAATGACCTTTTTGTATTACAGTCGTAAGTACATTTGTTTAAAAGGAAAAGTTTTTTTTTCTCTCTGATCTTATGGTGTTATGGTCATAAATAAAAGTACATATACATATTTATTTGAAAGAAAGTATATTTGTTTGAAAGGAAAAAAAAAATTTCTCCTCTTTTTATTGATACTTATGGTGTTATGGCCATACATAAAAGTACATATTTGTTGGAATGAAAGTACATTATTAATGAGTTCACTGATTTTTAAATGACTTTTTGTACTATGGATATACATGACATTTGTTAAGAAGAAAATATTCTTTGATCGAGATAATAAATTTCGGTTATGGCGAAAAAGAGGGGAATTACTAGTTAATAACATTTGATAAAAAAAATTTTGTTTTTATTGGTAATGACGGCCATTGATCGATTAGAATTATATTTCGATAAATATTTTTTTTTCTTTTCTCTTTCTCCTACTTATTTTTATATATATGATTGTGATTTATGCCGCAAAGTGAAAAGTAAAAAAACTGAAGTTGCCTTTAATTATGTATTAATTTTAGGGAAGAATAATAATGGAACCTGGTGATCCACATGACCGGGTTAGTTTTTCTTATGGATAAAATATTTTTTACCCTTTTCAACAGCAACTTATGATAATGTTGTTTTATTTTATATTTTTTTTTTATTTCACAAATTTTTGATGCCGCGATTATCATCATTAAGGATCCATAAAATAGATTATAAAAAGTAAAAGTAGTTCGAATATAATATACCATACCTTCCTAATCACATATGATCAATTTTAATTTTAAAAATGCCAACATGAAATTGCCGTAATTTTAAAAACAAATTGTTAATAGTTTAAAAAAAACGTATTCCCATTATCAGTCGGATGTACGTATGATGCACCATTTCAAGCTAGTTATCAAGCCAGACCACAGAGAATCATCGTTTACTCGACAGTTTCGGAACAATGTAATACAATCGCTGACTCTTTTATCTGACTTTGTTTCTATCCTCGTAATATCAATCAGGAAAATAAAGGTGATCAGGAAAACCACTCTCGACGATTTAAAAAAATTTTTAAACAATGTCATTATTCGAATAGTTAATTGATATTATATAAATTTTATTTCTTGGGGTGAATGCCGTTGGTCCATAAAGGGGTGGCCTGTAATCGTGGATCTTATTTTTATATAAATAATTATATATATATAATGTCAATCTGTTTTTTTTTTAAATTTTGTGATTGGTTTAAAAGAAAGAAATTTTACTAAAAATTTGCAACGTCAATCAAATTTTTTGAAAGTTTTTACATTTTTTTACAAAAGAAAAAAAAAATATATTTTGTTTAAAAATCACTTTTTAATTTGCTTTTTTGGAATTATTATTTTTTTAGAAATTACATTTTTTTAAAATTACTAATATTTTTTGTAATAACTAAATAACTCTTAAAAATTTATATTTTATCATTAATATTTTTTTATAAATATGATCAGGCGCGTAACCAATGGGGGTTTAATTTTTTTTTTCTCTTTAGCTTTCACCTTTTCTGGTGGTAAGCTCCTTCAACATCTCTCTCCACTTTATGTTATTAATACAATCTCTTTTATCTAATTTATACTTCTTTATATTGGCTCTAACTTTATGGCCCCATTGAAGTTTTGGCCTTCCTCTTTTACGTTTGCCCATCACTTCCAAACTCTTAACTTTATTTCCTATGTAGTTCATAGGCCTTCTCATTGTGTGCCCATACCACCTAAGTCTGCCATTAACTTAGTCTTAATGGGCACTACCGTTAAGCTACTTAGTATTCTTGTACTGCGCACTCTTTTTACCCCAGCAATCATCCTCGCCATTCTCATCTCCATGGTTTGTAGGCTTCTCTCGTCTGATTCTATGGTTGGCCATGTTTCCGAACTATATAGAATAGTTGGTTGTATTATGAAACTGTAAATTTTTCCCTTTAATTTGTGTGGGATTCTTTTATCAAATAGCACTCCAGATTAAGATCTCCACTTTAGCCACCCTTGATTAATCTTACTCTTTATCTCTTTTTCTATTGTTCCGTTTGTTTGTATAGTGGAGCCCAAATATTTGCAGCTTTCAATTGCCGATATCTGCCATTCATTTATATCAATACTCTCTGTTTCATCTCCTCTTATCACCATATACTCCGTCTTTTCTCTATTTACTTTTAATCCGTGCGTTTCTAGGATATTTATCCAACTCACTAATCTTTCTTTCATTTCATCCTTAGATTCGGCAAGTGTCACAATATCATCTGCAAATATCATATTCCATGGGACTGTTTGAGGTATAGACTGTGCTAATACATCTATTACTGTAATGAAGAGAAGTGGGCTGAGAGCCGACCCTTGATAAACTCTTTCGGCTATTGTGAAGCCTGCTGAAGTACCTGTTGTGCTACGGACCATTGTTGTATGGCCCATATACATATCCTGTATTATTCTTATATATTTTTCGGGAAAATTTTTGTGGCGTAGCACCCACCAGATAAGTTTTCTTAGGATTCTATCAAAGGCCTTTTCTAGATCGAGAAAGACCATGTGTAGCTTTTTGTTCTTTTCCCTGTGTGGATAGCATCGGTTGTTGATCTTCCAGGCATAAAGCCAAACTGAGTCTCTCCTATTTCGATTATTTAATCTTTTTTCTATTATTTTTTCGTATAGTTTTAGACAGTGTGACAATAGTTTTAAGCCCCTGTAATTTTGACAATTATGTGGATCCCCTTTATTTTTGAAGATAGGAACTAGATAGCTCTGCCTCCATTTTTGGGGAACCTCTTAATTTTCAAGTATATAGATTTGTGAGGAGATGTATTCCATCATCTCCTAGTGCTTTAAGGCTTTCTATTGGAATATCGTCTGGACCCCTAGCTTTGTTGTTTTTCATATGCTTGAGGCATGTGATTATTTCTTGTTGTGTTATAGGTTGTACAAGGTTTTGACAAGGGGAGTGTTCGTCTAGATGCAGTATGTGCGTATTAAAGTTGAGAAGCTCCTAAAAATATTCTCTCCATCTACTCATTATTTCTTTTTCCTTTATTATCAATTTCCCATCTTTATTTTTGATTACTTTCGGAGCTCCGTTTATATCCCTAGAATTCTTTTCTCGCTGTTTGGCTAATCTGTATCTTCGTACATGTCATCGTATGCCATAGATTTGGCTCTAGCCACCGCCGTTGTAGCTAATCTCTTGGATTTTTTATCTTGTCTTGTCATCTGCGTTTTTGGATTTGTACCATATTTTATAAAGGGCTTTTTTCTCCTGTATAGTGGTTTGTATCTCTTCATTCCACCACCATAGTTCTTTGTATGATTTGTTGCCTCCTCTTGTCAAGCCTAGTGTCGATTTGGCATTGTCTATTAATCTGGATGAAAGGTCTGTCCACATTTTTTCACTGACTTGTGAGGAATTTATTGTTTCAATGTTTGCATTGATTGCAAAGGGATCTGTCATTGTTTTTACCATTTGATGCATGGTTCCAGTTTTATCTTGTTTTGAGTGGATTTATTTGAGATGTGTAAACCATGACTGCTTGTGTTGTGCGGCGATATCTTCTCCTGGGATGACTTTGCAGTCTATTACATCTTTTAATCTTCTGCGAGAGATTAGTATGTAATCTATCTGTGTTTTCCATGTACCACTTTCGTATGTTATTAAATGACTATCCTTTTTCCTATAGTAGGTGTTGGTTAAGGCAAGGTCGAAGGCTTGCGCAAATTTCAGTATATGCTCTCCTTCATCATTTCTTTCTCCATATCCAAAACCATCATGATGCCTTTTGTAGCTATATCTTGCTTTCCCCACATGCGCATTTAAGTCACCACCAATTATGACTAGGTCATCCTTAGGGATTTTCATTACAGCTTCATCGAGGATAGCTCTAAAATCATCTTTCTCTTCTTCCTTGCAACCCGTTTGAGGAGCATATAATGAAAGGATGTGTAGTATTGATTGACCAATGCATTTTATCTTCATTAGTCTATCAGAGATCCTGTTGACTTCTACAACTGAGGAGGTTAGATCTTGACTGAGGATGATGCCGACACCGTTCCTATTGCTAACAAGTCCATTATAGTACAATTTATACCCATCTCCAATCATTAAAGTCTTCTGTCCTTTCCATTTCGTCTCTTGTATGCACGCTATATCAACTTTTCTCTTGTTCAACATTGATGCCAATTCTCTCGTCTTACCTTTAAGCGTCCCAATATTCAAACTTGCTAATCTTGTCTTCTTTGCTTTGACCTTATCTTTACTTTTCACAGGATGGAGGTCTACACCCTGCGCGTCGCTTGGAAGGAACGCCCTAGCTTTCATATTCATATTTCCGTTTGTTTCCTTCATTTTGTTTATTGGACAGGTATCCTTAGCACCCGGCGCCTGTCGGTGACCGTTTGTCATCTCTAAGCTCCGAAATTCATCATACCATATGTCTTTACACATCAGTCATCGAAGAAAAACTTGAAAGTTTTTATGGTTCTTATCAGGATTGAACCTGCGTCCTTGTTCATACTCGTGTTTCCAAGCCTACATCTTACCCATTAGACCAGGGTTTAATAATGCATTTAATTATATATTTTAGATATTCAGTATTTTATCTTAAAAATTGAACGAATGAAATAGATATTGATTGTTACTACCATGCTTCATTGACGCTATTTTAATTTTAAATCAATAGTTATACATTTCGAAAATGAGTTAAATTAATTTTATTTATAACATCAAACACAGATATAAAATTCATGTCAATTTACAGAATTGTCATTTATCGAAAAGTTAAATCCGTGGCTTCTACACTCCCTTAAAAGTAACTGATGATTTTATCACTTCTCTGACTCTTGCCCTCTATTACCACCGTCCTAATTTTTTTTAACCCTTACCCCTCTAATTAGTATTAATGATTCCCATTTCATCACATATTGATAAAAATAGGATTAAAATATCAAAATAAAATTCTGATAGATTAAATAGTTTGGCCCTTTCGATAGGCATTTGAAGCCAATCACGGATGAGATTAGTAAAAAATTAACTCTACCTCCAACCCTTCTAAGATTTTAAAGACTGTACTATGTCTTACCCCCGCCGTGGTAAAAGCTGCTTAATATAATAAATATTTATAGATGGAAACCAGCGGCTGTACAAATTCCTGTGCCATTTTTCTCTTGTCCATCGCATAGCTTGGCGTCTTTTACTAGTAAAAGCATGGATTTACCTCCTGGAACTGGACTTTGGGTCATTAGTAACATCCCTTATATATTTATAGTAAAATATAATCTTGATAAATGATATATAGCAAATAAAACATTTGGAAGAATAGATTAGGTAAAAATGAGGGTATAATATATTTTAAAGATCTTTTTGACTCTAAAATAGGGTTTTCATTAAAATCTCGTGTCTTTTCAATAGAACGAAGCAAACCATAAAGAAAAGTTTTTAAAAAAGATGAAATCAAAAATAAAAAACCATTCTTAAATGATCTAAGAGATTTTGCTTTTGCTTCGTCGGATCCATATATCACTGAACCATCTATGTAGGATGTAACTTTATTAAATTGCTCTCTGCTTCCTAATTTATCGAAAAAGAGTTACAGAATATGTTAATGAATTAAGAAGACTAAATATCTGCAGCTATATAAAAAAATATGTAAATGTAAAGTGATTGTTTTAACCCAGACGTCCGCCTGCCCATTGTTTTAAAGAGAAATTGATCCAACGGCCAATTTATCTAAAAATTTTATTCAACCTGCCCACCCAATGTTCTAAAATTATTTTATTAGTTGGTTTAGCTTTCTATTTTTATTTAATTGTATTTAAACTTATAAAATAATGAAATTAAAAAAATAATTTTTAATAAAAAGAAACTGTTCTGCTCATTTCGCCTCCAAAAATATTTAAATTCACTGATTCATTGTTTTAAAAATATTTAACTCTCCTGCTCACCCGTTCAATTTTTAAAATCTTCCGCCCACCCCCTGCCCCATTCCCATACTCGCCCGTAGAATAAGCGGGCATGGGCATGCGGGAGGGTGAAAAACCAATCCATGCACACCCACCCTATATTTTTCTGATACAAGGTTTGGTAATAGTGCGAATACTCACTTTTCAACACAAGATACAAAACTTTTTTGAATTTATATTTTTATCTTTTTAATATTTTCAACAGTATACCTTGTGTCTGTATTTAACTTTAAATAAAATACAAAAGAAGAATTTACGTTTAAAATTTCAAAAATTTATGTATAAATCCTTAATTCGAGTTAAAATGTTATACTTTCTAGCCTCTGAGCAAAATATATTTATTATAATTTTTTTTTGGTATAGCCATTGAAGAAAAAATATTTACTTTCAATCTAGTGATATTAGACGCAGTGGCATAACCAGAGGAAAGGGGGGGGGGTGAGACCGAAATGTTTCCCTCTATTTAAATTCTCCTCTTTTTTTGTATAATTAAAAATTATTCATACAGAATTTCCCATTCAAAAAAGGAAAAGGGTCAATCATAAAAGGAAAAGGTTCAATCAAAAAAGGAAAAGGTTCAATCAAAAAAGGAAAAGGTTCAATCAAAAAAGGAAAAGGTTCGATCAAGAAAGGAAAAGTGTCAATCAAAATAAGGAAAAGTCTCAAAGGTTTAGGAAAATGTCCAATCCTAAAAGGAAAAGTGTCAAACAAAAATAGAAAAGGTTCAATCAAAAAAAGGAAAAGTGTCAAACAAAAAAGGAAAAGTGTCAATCAAAAAAGGAAAAGTGCCAATCAAAAAAGGAAAAGTGTCATAAGGAAAGGAAAAGTGTCAAAGGAAAATTTCCAAAAGGATAGGAAAATTTCCATTCAAAAAAGGAAAATCGTTATTTTTTAATTTTTTTTTCTTGTCTATTTTTCTAAAATTTTTATTATTCCTTCTTATTTATTTCAAACTTTTAGCGATTTCTTTAATTTATTTTTCTTACTACATCTTTTCTCAATTTATTTTTCTTCTCATTTTTGATAAATCTTTTGTCTTTTTAAAAATAATTTATAAATTTCCCTTATTTTTTTTTAACTTTACTTTTTTTTTTCATCATTCATAACAATATTTACTTTTTAAGATTATTTCTCCTTATAATCTTTTACATACCTTTCTAACCATTTCAATCTCTTTAAGTCATTTTTAATCTTTATTTTTTTGATCTTTTCTAATTTTTTTTTTCATTTTTTTAGGAATTATATTTAATTTTCACTTAAACAATTTTTTTTTCATTAGAATTTTTTGCATGTCAAATTATTTAATTAGAATTGCTAAATTAAATTAATAGTTTGGTTATATCAAGGGCAGACTGGCCATAAAACCCGGTGGGCATTTTGCCCACGAGGCCGCGAGAAAATGTCGATTTTTGAGGCCGATCAGAGGAAAATATCAAAATAGAGGCCGATTAGAAAAAAATTATTATTTTCACATTATTTTCTCTTATCATTTATTTATTTTTAATGATATCTCTATGATATGAATATCACATTCCTTGAAAATTGTCATGTCGTTTACCATATTTTTATGCATAATATATCAATAACGTCGCTTGTCGCTACACATCATTACCACGTTCTTATCTTTGTTTTTTTCAAATGAAGTGAAAACGCTTCTGTTTGAGTAGAGTGAAAGCTAAGTTTTGATTAATTTATTATATTATATTTTATACATTGATTAATTGTAGAAATAATATAGCTAACATTTCTTGTTTTTAATTCATTGAAATCAAATAAAATCCAGGTCGGTGAATCAGATAAAAGGATGGATGCTTGGGTAAAACAGAATAATTCATCTGGCCAAAATAAGTTGAGAAGGCTGCTAAAAATAGGTGAGATAAGGTGGTGGGCACGTGAAAAAGCCCTTAGATGGATATATGGTAAAGAGAGCTTGCTCCCAATAACGATAAAGGCACTTCAATTTATAATAGATAATAAATAATTCGAGACAAAAACTAGATAATTTATGTAAATTTATGAAGTACAGCTATAATATATTTGGAAATTTTTAAAATAATGGGGCCACTGCCATATCTTCAAACTAAAAAATTAGGTACTTTGTTCGCATGTAAAATGAAAGAAGATGCTAAATCTTCTGTATCATCGATTCAAAATAAAGCAATAAAATGGCTGCTAATTTAAATAAAACATTTTCATATTTATAGCTCCCGAAGAGTATCTGACTACAAAATGCTCTGTAAAAAGATCGAATAAGACGAGCGAAGAGAATATATAGTGACAAATGCCAAGATGAATGTCCTCAAGAATCGATTGACCTTTATAGGTTCGAACTATTTCGTCCTATCCGGAACTACTTTCTGCGAATTGAGAGCTTATCTTGAATGTGCAATATTTGTATTCAAGACATTTTGATGAAATAAATAGTAGAGGTATTTCTGAAAAGGCCTTGGAAACTGGCACAATTGGCATATATATTGAGTGTTAAATTTCATAACGAATTATGTTCAATTGCCAGTGTATTCAAAGATTTGGTAGCAGAATTAAAAGAAACGGACGATAATATCGCGTGTACAAGTGAGGAGTCAAATGAAGAAGATGGAATATTACAATATGATAATAAATCAGAGTGTGATAATAAATGTACCAAGTGTTTAATATGCGTATATGAAATTCTTAAAAAATACAATATTCATACAAGTGACACTAATTTATTTTTGGCTAATGAATACATTTTAACTTTATCATTTACGCAGGTTAATTGCGAGAGCATTTAGTAAATTAAAAATTATAAAAATAAGCTGAGAGCTAATATTAGCCAATAAAAATTAGAGGCGTTTTTAATGATGTAAGTTGAACGAGAACTATTAGCATAGATTGAACTAGAAGATATTCCTGTATATTTGCGCAAAGGTTCAAAGTTAATGAGAGATTTATTAACGTAAAATTAAATATTTTCTTTATTCTTTTATTAGAATCTTATTAATATTATTTACAATATGATCGGTGCCTGATTTTATAAAAGTGCAGCAATTTTATTATCTGTAATATTTTATAACTGCAATAATTTTATATTTATAATTAATTGATTTAATATATTGAGTATCCATTTTTTATATATTAAACATGTGATGTATGATTTAATTTTATAGTGCAATATCGTTGTAAATCTAATATAAAATATATATTTTCGATGAATATTATTTTATATAGGTAATGAATATGATTTTAGATGTGCATTTTTTTTAAATAAAATATATGACTATCGAATACATTTTTACTAAAAAAAACGTTTGAACTTATTTTCAAAAAATAAGAAGCCATTTAAGGATACCCGGTCGAAGACCGGGCAGAAGCGGGTCGAAGGCCCGCAAAATGGGGGTATGGGGCGAAGCCCCCATATAAATGAGGCCGCTATAAAAAATGCCCACGAGGCTGTAGCGTCGCCAGTCCGCCCCTGGTTATAATGTACCTTTTTAAAATTAAATAAGTTTGAACTGTAGTACCAAACGATATGTAATAAAATATAATCATTTTTAAATTCTTATTTTTATGCAAGAAGCATTCAATATTTTTGAGCAAGTAAATAATTTTTTTGTAATTATTATTAAAACTATATTCTTTGATTTATGAATAAATAAACGTAAAATGAGTTAAATGTTATAATCTAAAGGTTTTAGTTTTTTTGTCATTCCTTCCATTTGTTGAATATATATTTAAAAAAGAAATATATTTTTGTTTTAAAAATAAAATTATGAAGATATGGCAAAAACAAGGGGAAAAACATTAACAGTGAAACAAAAGCTCTAATAATTGACGTTTAGTATCAAAAATATAGCATCATTTTTTATGGTAAGCTATAAGACAGTAACAAATATTAAATACCCCCATCTCAAAAATGTGCCCAAAAGAGGATCACGTGCATGCAAGGAACTAAATGTTAAATGATTAAAGAAAGATATGATGTGGAAATATCAAAAAATACTGATAGCTTTAAAAGAGTATCACTACGTTCAGTTAGAGAAAATACCGAATCAAATATCATGATTCGCAAAGAATACTCGAATTGGTTTATAGATGTAGCCTATATGAAAGAAATATTTATATTTATCTATGAGAGCGGGTTTCAATATAAATGAAGCGATGGATATTCACAAATAAATAAAAAGGCTATTAAAAATGTTTAAGGGATAAAGACAATGAATTATACTATAATGCCCTCACAAATGCAGTAAATGAAATATTAAATCATTTTGAAGAAGGTAACATGATGAATATGATTTATGTGATGGATAATGTTCAATTTCGTCATATTCAATTAGGGAATCGATAGAAAGAAGAAGGCATACACTGAAATATTTACCACCTTACATTCCTTATCTTAATCCCATTGAAAATGTGTTTTTTAAATGGAAGGATTTTGTCAGAAGTCAAAATCCCATAAACGAGAAAAAATTAATTCGTTTTATAGAGCATGGAGAGAGAAGAATATCTGAAAATATATTATTTTAGAAATATGGTGACCTATATTCCAAAATATAGAAGAAGGAAAATTATTAATGAATAATATAAATTTTGGTTTCTGACTATTACATATATATCGTAATTGTAATTAAATAATTTGATATGTAAAAAATTCTAAATTTAGTGAAAATTAAATAAAATTCCTAAAAAGAATTACCAAAAATGAGAAAAGATTAAAAAAATATAGATTAAAAATTACTTAAAGAGATTGAAAAGGTTAGAAATGTAAGTAAAATATTAAAATATAAGGAGAAAAAATCATAAAAAGTCAAAATATTGTTATGTATCATGAAAAAAGAGTAAAGAATTGTTTAAAAAAATGGAGCAGAGGGGTGAAGAAAAATAAGGGGAAATTTATAAATTATTTTTAAAAAGACAAAAGAATTATCAAAAATGAGAAGAAAAATAAATTGGAAAAAGATATAGTAAGAAAAATGAATTGAGAAAAGATACAAATATAGTAAAGAAATCGCAAAAAGTTAGAAATAAAATAAGAAAAGAAGGAATAATATATATTCAAGAAAAAAAAATTATAATTTTTTTAAAAAAGATCAAGATCTTTAAGTTTGGATTGGTGGGGACTAAGGGATAATACAGAAATAGTCCCAAATTAATAATTGCCCCATTTCCAAGAAATTTGGGTATGCCATCTTTTCTACCAGATCTGAAAAGATCAAGAGGTTCTAAAAGGGTATGTTGAATAATGTATTGCAATGATAGTTTCTAGGGATACTTCCTTTGCAAGTACGGCAGTGCAGGCTATGCCGTCCCCTTAAATCGACAAGAGAAGTACAAAATTTTTATTATAATGTATCAATATTATTATATAATGTTTTGGTTCGTATTTAGAATAAATTAAAATATAAGTTCTAACTAATTTTCCCATAGTCAAATTTTATATCAATTTTATGAATATTAGTCCACTAATTTCTTTTTGAAAAAAAGTTACAACTTATTTGGAATATGTTTTTTAATCGTTTCTACTTCTACTACAGATAATATTAGAGCACATCACGATTGTATTCAGTTAAAAAATGTATCATTATTTTTTACATCGGTTAAAGTCATTCCTTATTAATAACAATGACATAGCTAGCAGATTAGGTATATTTAAAAACAAACTTTAATTTTTTTTATCCAAAATTCATCATATCATTTATTTCTCGGGGTACATATCACAAACTGTTTACTCAACTATTAATGCTTTTAAAACTTATTTGCAAATTTTAAAATATATCCGAAAGCATTATCTAAGAGTGGTCTCACTAATTGTTTTAGATTGGATACCGACGATAGACTAGGAGGTCACAAATAGTTGGATGCCCTTCCCAGTCAAAACATTAGTAATCTCTTATCAGATGAACAATTGAGAGTAGCAGTAGGTTTATGAATACGATGTGAGATTGTCCAAGCATATAATTATATTGATTGCAACACTTTGGTCACTTCTAAGGGATGCGTGGACTTTACTGTCTATATGTAATCAATGTGAACACTAACGTCATATCTCAACAATTAATCTAATAATATATCGGAGCCTAAAAAACATCCTACACATTTTTGAACCTACCAATATATCAACATAAGATTCTCTAAAACATGGATTGTCCAGGGGCCCGGTGGGCATTTTGCCCACGAGACCGCGAGAAAATGTCGATTTTTGAGGCCGATCAGAAGAAAATATCAAAATAGAGGTCGATTAAAAAAAAATTACATGTTCACATTATTTTCTCTTATCATTTATTTATTATTAATAATATCTCTATGATTTAAATATCACATTCCTTGAGAATTGTCATGTCGTTTACTACATTTTAATGCATAATATATCAATAACGTCGCTTGACGCTACACATCATTACCAAGTTCTTTTGTTTTTTTTTCAAATGAAGTGAAAATGCTTCCGTTTGAGTAGAGTGAAAGCTAAGTTTTGATTAATTTATTATATTTATTTTATACATTGATTTATTGTAGAAATAATATAGCCAAAATTTCTTGTTCTTAATTAATTGAAATCAAATAAAATATAGGTCGGTGAATCAGATAAAAAGATGGATGCTTGGGTAAAATAGAATAATTCATCTGGCCAAAATAAGTTGAGAAGGCTGTAAAAAATAGATAAGGTGATGGACACGTGAAAAAATCCTTAGATAGATATATGGTAAAGAGAGCTTGCTCCCAATATCGATAAATGCACTACGATTTGTAATAGATAATAAATCATTTGAGACAAAAACTTGATAATTTATGTAAATTTAAGACTCTTGGTACAGCTATAATATATTTGGAAAATTTTGAAATAAAACTAAAAAATTAGGTACTTTGTCAGCATGGTAAATGATAGAAGATGCTAAGTCTTCTGTATCATCGATTCAAAATAAAGCAATGAAATGGCTTCTAATTTAAATGAAACACTTTCATATTTAAAGCTCCCAGAGAGTATCAGGGTACAGAATGCTCTGCCAAAAATTGAATAGGACGTGCGAAGAGAATATATAGTGATAAATGCCAAGATGAACGTCCACAAGAATCGATTGACCTTTATAAGTTCGAAGTATTTCGTCCTATAATTGATCAAATTATAAACAGCTTGTCGGAACGGCTTTCTGCGAATTGAGAGCTTATTTTGGATGTGCAATATTTGCCTCCAAGATATTTTGATGAAATAAATAGTAAAGGTATTTCTGAAAAGGCCTTGGAAAAACTGGCACAATTGGCATATATATTGAATGTTAAATTACGTAACGAATTATGTTCATTTGCCAGTGTATTCAAAGATTTAGTAGCAGAATTAAATGAAACGGACGATGATATCGTATGTACAAGTGAGGAGTCAAATGAAGAAGATGGAATATTACAATATGATAATAACTCAGAGTGTGATAATAAATGTAACAAGTGTTTAATATGCGTGTATGAAATATGCACACGAGTGCATTCACTAATTTTTGGCATATAAATACATTTTAACTTTATCGTTTACGCAGGTTAATTGCGAGAAAGCATTTAGTAAATTAAAAATTATAAAAATAAGCTGAGAGCTAATATTGACCAAGAAAAATTAGAAGCGTTTTTAATGATATCAGTTGAACGAGAACTATTAGCGTAGATTGAACTAGAAGATATTCCTGTATATTTGCCCAAAGGTTCAGAGTTAATGAAAGATTTATTAACGTAAATATTATTTACAATATGATCGGTGCCGGATTTTATAAGTGCCGCAATTTTATTCTCTGTAATATTGTATAACTGCAATGATTTTATATTTATAATTAATTGATTTAATATATTGAGTATACATTTTTTTTATATTTAACATGTGATGTATGTTTTGGTTTTAATGTGGAATATCGTTGTAAATCTAATATAAAATTATATTTTCAATGAATTTTATACTATTCTTTTTTTTACTAAAAATGTAAAACGTTTCAACTTATTTTCAAAAAATAAGAAGTAATAATCATTTAAATCAAAGAAGCCATTTAAGGGAATCCGGTCGAAGACCGGGCAAAAGCGGGCAGAAGGCCCGCAAAATGGGGGTATGGGGGCGAAGCCCCCATATAAATGAGGCTGCTATAAAAAATACCCACGAGGCTGTAGCGTCGCCAGTCCGCCCCTGGGATTGTCAACAATCCCGTAGTAGTTAGAGGAATCTCTTATTTGGAATTTCACCTATGTCCCCTTTTTCCCATCAGATAAAAATTTTAATCCTTTGCTAACAGTCGGAACAATGAAAATAAAAGATTATTTGAAATTATCGAACTACATATTCACTCTATTTATATGATCAACAAAAGGACATTTTTCTCCCTTAATATACTAATTTTATAAAACTTTTATGCTCAAAATCAAGACATTTACTAATGAACCACGAGTTTTATGGCAAAAAATGCAAAATGATTTGTTCAAATATAACAATGGCTCTTTTTAATAAAATAAAGAATAAAGTAGAAAAAAACTAAAAATAAGTTGGTCAATTTTATTCATTTATAATAAGATATTATTATGTTTGATTTTTTATCAATTAGACCATTTTTTTTAAACAGATTTTTTTATTCTTATTCGATATTTTAAATAAAGAGATTACCAATTTTTAAAAAAAAGAAGTTATAAATTGAATCTATTCTTTTAAATCTATGAATATTAGGATTTTCACTGATGTGAAACGAATTGCTTGAGTAGGCAGTTTTGGCAATATTGGTACTATCTTATTTAAAAAACATTTAATAATAGATTGTTTTCTTTTTTATTATAGATTGGCCAAGTTTGATATTGCAACAAAAATCGAAATATCAGATGTTGGAAATTATAAAAATATTTTCTGGTAAGTTGAGTAATTGGTTTTTATTTTGATTTAGTTTTTCATCAGATTTGAACTACTAGAAATATTAGTATTCTTTTATTAATACTTTCTAGAATTAGGGATCATATTAATTAGGCTAATATGAAGTTTTTGTCAAACACTATACACAAAAATTATTTGATAATATTTGACCAGTCAAATATATTAGGGTTAATTGACTCGTCAATTAACCGACTTGCTAACCATGCTTCTAGCTAACCAAGTCTGACAAAGAGTTGATAATTGAATGAATTACCCTTCCAATTTAAATATAAATCGTTCCACATCTTATACTAAATTCATAAATTTTATTAGGATTAGGATCAGAAATTTTATAAAATAATGAGGATGCAACTTGAAGAAATATTCGAAATTTCGCTTCGAGTAAATCCTATGCAGACCACTTCAAACTCTCCATAGAAAGGATCTCCTTTAACGTCAATATGAGCGCATTGAGTGTTGGATGAATCTGCACCGCAGCATGCCAATCTGCTCCCATCGGGTTCTTAATTGAGTTAATATTTTTATGTTATATAATTAAGTAATATGATTAAAATAATTCTTATTTTAAATTTAAGTTTTGAAGACATGTAAGAATTTTTAAATCTAAATTACATTTTGATAAATTTTTATTTTTAAGGATGAAAATCCATACTTTTCTCTATGAAATCATCATTTTCAATTAATATATAATTAAAAATTATACTATATTAGATTAACACATATTATAAATAAAATATATTAATTATAAAAAAATGCAAGAGAATAACATGATAAGCAGTTTGAACACATATCATAATTAATATTCGTTGCCGGAGGAAAAAAAATCTTACTGAGAGAAAAAATTGACAATTTTTGGCGGCGGATGGGCTCTAAATTCAAATGTACCGATTGTGTCGGAAATAATTAAAATAAATATGACATTAGGTATGTTTATATTTAATTTCGTTATTATTCTCTCTAACCATAGAATTGCAACGCATACTTAATCCCAGGCTAGCGGAATTCCGTTAAAACGTAAAACCAATCAATCCAAGCTACTTTAATATAAAACTAATCAATCCAAATATTCTTTAATTTTGCTATTAATTCATTATTAGTGTTTAAAGTTAAAGAATTCTTGAAAGGGAATAATTTATATTGACTTAAAATATATTAAAGAAAACTTAAAAATTTACCGGGGTGAGAGGGGAGGGGATCTTAAAGCACCCCCTTTGCTATGCCTAAGATGTACTATCTGTCTCAATCAGTGGCGTAGCTACGGGGGTGGTTTTCAGGTTTGGACCCCTCCCAGAGCAAATATTTTTTTAGATTATACGTTCAAAAGACTTAAAAGTTACTTTATATCAAATAAATACCATGAATATTTATATTTTTGATGTTCGTGGAATGATAATTTGAGATAATCTACGAAATTATAATAATATATTATTGATGCATTAACTATATTTATTATATAATATCGAAGATATTGTTATGATTTTTAAGATAAACCCGGCCGAAGGCCGGAGCTATAGGCCGAAGGCCCGTTAAAGGGGGTCTGGGGGGCGAAGCCCCCAGTCTTATATATGTATGGACCCCCTCTAAGGAAAATTCCTAGCTACGCCACTGATCTCAATAAAAAAAATAACCACCTAAAAAATTACAGTTGTTTACGCTCCTTTTTAATAGGATCTAGCTCCTTCTCCTACAATTTCAAAAGTAGCTAGCTCCCGTTTCCGCTATTGAGTTTTTAAAAGGAGCACGCTCCCGATTCCTTTTAGAAAAAAAGAGCCGCTTCTTAGCCTCTCCCTTGATTTTAATTTTTTAAATATAAATCACACAAAAAAATCATTTTTTATTTATATATTTTAATTAGCATTAAAAAAAATTATAATTTTATATTTGTTTTTAAGAGTAGTAAATTTTATACATTTGAACCTGACAAACAATCACGCCTCTCGCCTAAAGCTTGTTTAGCGATACAAAAAGCGTTCAACAGTAGCAGTAGATGGAAGATGGGTGTTATTGTATTTTGATAAATATTATTTAAATCATTTATATATTAAATATATTTATTGAGGTATTTTTTATTTAAAAAAAAAAATTAATTTAAAATATTATCTTCCTTATAAATCAATTTGATTGAATCCAAAAGTTTTCTAAATATTGGAGGGTCGTTGTAATTATAAATATTTTTGTGTTTTAGGAATTTCTTTTCTTATGAAATCAATTAATTTATTTAATAGCATCAATGATATTATCATAAATTTAAACAATTCAAAATCTGCTATAAAGTTAAAAATATATCATTTATTTTTATAAAATTATATACATTTTGCAATGCCGCATATAAGGGACTCTACAAGAAATTAGCAAAATTCTAAATCTGCGAAATAATTTAATATTGAAGTAAGCCAAGAAATAGTTGCAGTTAAAAACACCATATTCATATGAAGCTCACCTTCAAGGATCTTCAAGGTTTTGACAAATCTCCATTAATTTAATCATTTTGGAAAAATAACGATTATATTAATATTTACTTGGTTATATTCTTTAATAAATTACGTTCCAGAGAGTTAAAGCATATATCATATAATAATGTTATCTATCAAGATCTTGGAATTTTTGCTTAATATTTTATCTAACAATACCACGAATCATAATATGAATTCCATCTTGTAGCTTTTGGATACATCAAATATTTTCCTAATTTTTTTTATTATATTACCAACCAGATTTGTGAACATATTTTATTTATTATATAAAGACTGACACTTTTGAAGTGAGCTTTTGGGTTATAATTTTAAATATTCTAATTTCTAAAGCTTTCTCTGCATTAGCTGTAGCAAATTGATATTGTGGCAGGCACAGCGTGAATGTTTTGTTGGTAGAAAATCTTAACTTTCTGCTCTGTAATCAGGTTCAGGATATCATCTGTTGAAAATCTTTATCCATTTCAAAACTTTTACTCTTAAACATGTCACCTCTTTTAGAGGAGAGAAATATTTCTTATACGATGGAAATGAAAATTTATTTTAATATATTTTAATAACTACTGTATCTGTTAATTAACATATCGCATTCCATGGTCTTTATATTTTATAAGAGTTAAAATATGCCTTGAATAAAAAAATATGTAAATAAAAACTCAGGACAACATTTTATATAATTAAATATTTTTATAAATTTTAATTAATACATATTATCTTTATGGTATTCAACAAATAAATAAATTAAGATTATTTTATTTTTTACAATAAAATTAAGAAGCGGAGGAGCGCCGCTTCCCCCTCCCCTTATATCCCAAAAAGGAGCTAGTTCCAGCTCCCGAGTTATAATGTAGCGGCACTCTTTAACAACACTTAGAAATTATGTGAAGACTAAAGTATCTTCTATGAGATGTTATAGAGACTTTTACTATATAAAAAACTTACATTTCTTCTCATGCAGTCATTTCGGAATTATGGCAAGATATAAAATTGAGACTGAGGAGTTGAAAAACGAACATATTAAATCGAAATGGATAAAAGTAATTCTAACAGATCTAAATTGCTAATTGCTTAAATAATAAAAAAAATTTACTTTCTCCTAAGTTGTTCATTCTTCTGGTTTCTAATGACTAGTGGATAGCCTTATAAAATGAATCAATAAATAGAAAAAAGGGAAATAACAAATAAAACCGCTGTCGACCTAAAAATATATTGGTTAGATTTTAAGATTAGAAGTTCAAATGCACAGCTACACATTTTTATAAAGTCTTACGAAGAAAATCGAAAAAAAACTCTTAAAAAATATCAATGGGTTCTAGTTAAAATAATAGTTAAAAAAGACTTAGAAGTTTCGGGGAATATCAATTGGTTCTAGAAATAATAGTTAAACAAGATATAGAATTTTTGGGGAATCTCAAATGAGTGTAATTCGACTCTCCATGTTTTCTCAAAATCCCCTTATAATAGTAGAATTCATAAATTGGGTTATCTATTTTATAAGGCAAAAAATTTTAATAATTATTTGGTCAACAACATTTTTTTTAATAGGTCAAAAAAAGCCTTGATTGAAAAAAAGAAGAAACTTGATTGGACAATTAAACAATTAAATTAAAATTTCGATAAATGGAATCAAATCCTGGTTAAATATACTATTCCCTGAAGACATATACGCGTTTTAAAAAGATATGACCTAATGTATGTGGTGGTTGTTTTTAAATTCCTGATAATTCTAATTTGGCGAAAGAAAAATATATGTTTTTAAGTTAGTTATATAAACGATTGTACCACTAATTTCCTAAGGGCATTAATAAACAGCACAAAATGGCGCAAAATTTCTTAAAAATGCAGTACGCATAAGTATGTAAAAATAATTACTAAACTAAGCAAAATGACAAATAATAATACATAAAAAAATTGAATGAAAATAAAAAAATTAAAAATAAAGTACTGAAAAATTTAAATAAGATTAAAAATAATCGAAAAAATTTCCTATTTTTAGCGTCATTTCGCGTGCTACCTAAAATTTTACGTCATTTTGCGTGTTTTGCACTTAATTTTACATTTTACTTTTTAAACATTTTGGGTGCTTTTCTGAAATTATTGCCATTTTGCTTGCTTTTATGTGTTTTTATTTATTTTCTGTTATTTTGCCTCTTTTATAAAATTTTACATATTTTTTGCGTCATTTTCACCTTTTTTTGTGTGTTTTTCTACGTTTTGCATAATTTTGAGACTTTTACATAATTTCCATAATTTTACATGTTTTTTTTATTTTGCGTTATTTTTTGTAATTTTGCTTAGTTTATTTTGCTTATATTTTACGTTGTTTATAAAATTGCATATATTTCCTGCTTTTTACGTCATTTTCCGTGGTTTAATGCTGTTTCATAAAAGTTCACTTAAATAATTTTAGTACCTAATGAATTTTTTTAATTTCGAAAAATGATGTATTATCAGAAATCAAAAGTGGTGGCTTTTGTTGAGGCAGAGTAGTATATCATGAACTATAACAAGAATAAGACAAAGTATGCAAATTCTTGCCTAAGATAAACCAGTGACCTGCAGGCCCGGTTTTTAAAATATACCCGGGACGGGCCCATTATTTTAAATCGCCATTATTATTATCAATAAAAATTAAAAATAAATACAATATATTTTAAAAAATCCGGGCCAGGCCTAAAAATATAAAACACGGGCCAGGTCAACCCAAAAAAAATTTTTTTTGAAAATCCGGGTCGGACCAAAAAAAAATTTTGTTTTAAAAATCAGGGCCAAACCTAGCCGTGCAAATGGTACCTCCGCAGGTCCCTGAGATAAACTAAGCTTATTAAATTAAGCCTACAAGGTATAAAGTAAATATTTATTATATGAAATTAAGAACTACTTTTAAAAATTTGGAAAATATCATGTTTAGTTACAAAAGTCCAAAAATTAAGATAATTGAAGTAAAATCAAAAAAAATTTAGATTAGTAAAAAATGAGATTTTTTAAAAAAATAAGAATTTTTTTTATTTATATTTGTTCAAGTAGCCAAAGTGATATATTGATCGTTATTCATGAAAGATAAGAGGGGAAAATGTAAATATTTATAAAACTGGATATTTAATCGTTCATAATATACAATTATTATATATAGAGGAAACCCCCACAAAAATATAGTCAAAACAAATAAAAAGATATTAAAACTTTTAGTAGCCGGGACGAAATTCATTTCATGATCAACCATTTGACCCCATTGCATGGCAATTATACTCAGAAATTCATTTAACATATCAGGCAGTCCATGAATAAGAAGACTTATTTTTCTGGCATTAGGCAATGGAGACCCCGATTGGCTTCTCCGGAAACTGGATTTGCCTTTTTATTTAAGAAGTTATAAGGCTTATTTATAAGCTTTGGTAAAATGTAATGGCATAAATTTTTATATATTCAATTTCCACTTGACTCAAAAGACTACGGCATAATTAAACAGAATAGGCATTATAAAATAGGCAATATAAAATAGGCAATATAAAATAGGCAATATAAAATAGACAATTACTAATTTAGTATTAAATAAGTAATGATTTATGTTGGTTATTCGCTATCAGATTGCCCATAACGGTATCATTATTAATACTAAAGTTTGTTTTAATCAAAATCTCGTGTCATGTAAGGTAATATTATAATCAGAGGACTTTTAGGCCCGGCCTGGATACACGAGTAGAGCTGTATTTTAATTTTTTTAAATATAACCTATCCGGGCCTAAAAAAAAATTTTTTAAATACCCGGACAGGGCCTTAATTTTAAGATCAAATATTTTAGATATATATTATTAGCTAAACAATTAAAATAATAATATATTTTTTTTAAATCCAGGCCAGGCTGTTCAAATAGTACCTCTGCAGGTATCCAATCACAATAGCACTTATATTTTTTGGAAAAAGCATTTATATATAAAAAAGTGATTAACGATTATTTAAGAAATGAAATATTAGTCAAAGGCAAGGCTTAAGAATAAATTACAATTTTATATAATTAGGGGAGATTGGGCTAGTCGAACCGATTTTTACAAAAGCATCTATTACTACTGTTTTTTTTAGATATTATAGAATATAATCATATTTTTGAAATTTATTTTTTGTAAAGGTGAAAATTTTGCTCAGCAAGCCTCAACAGCGAAGTTAGGCATCAAGGGGTTTTCTAAACCATTTATTTTTTAAACTATTAAATTGAAATGTATTTTTTAATGATACGTATAGAATAATTTTATTATCATAATATTTTTAAATTGAAGCAATTTATATATAAAATTGAAACTTGATTTTGGTTAATTTAATAAAGAATTTTAATAAAAATTAAAATTTAATAATTAATCATTTCAAAATATTTTTTGTTTGCATAAACCTTCTAGTCTAATTAATTTTAAAACGAGACTAAGTAGTTTGCCAAGCCCCAGTCTCTCCTACTATTAATGTGCGCTTAAAATTATCAAATAATATACTATATATAATTTAATTTTTCATATAGTGTTCCAGACAGCTTATTTTTGTATAACTAATTTCTTACATTTTAAATAAGGATAAGTTTTTTTAAATTAAATTAACTTCCTATCCTATAAAAATATTTTCTAAATATATATAAAGGAAACCAGGCCGAAAGCGGAGCAAGCGGGTGGCCCACAAAAAAGTAAGACTGGGGAGTGAAGCCTTCAGAAAATTACCCTTCCCCTAGGAAAATCCTGGCTACGCCCATGAATACATTTAATATTTTGTAATATTATTTGAATTTGTATACTAGAAATTGTAAATTTTATAGCAACTTAAAAAATTAATAAAACTTAAGATATTCTTACACTCCTAGAATAATAATTATAAAAATATTTAATTATCCCCCCCCCACCCCCCTCAAAGCGAATTCCTGCGTACACGTCTGCCAATATTAATTGAGTTTTTTAAAATTATTAAAAAATACGATTTTATTTTTTAAAATTAATAAATATTATTTGCTATAAAAACATTTGATTTGTAACAAGATGATATGTTTTTATTAGGCTAGTAATTTATAGAAAAGGTATTGAAATATTATATATTTTACTTTTAATTTTGATGTTTCAAATCTTTTGTATAAGACCATTAATTATTATATAAGGAGTAATGTAATATTTTCTTAATGATATCTACAATATTTTCTTAATTCAATCTACAACTCATCATATAAAATTTATTTTTTATCATAAAAGGAAATTTTAATTAATGGTTTTTATTTTATTGCCATTAAAACATATATACATAGCAGGACTAAAACAATTATAATAAATGCAACATTGCAATACCTGTAACAAAATACAGTATATCCTTGCAAGCCAAACCTTCTCTTGTATGGAAACATTTTGATTCAATATTAAAAACTGATACAAATAATAAGAGAACCAATGTTGCTTCAGATAACGTCTTTTGTAATGATGAAAATAATTATTCATTTTCATAGTAAATTTTTTGATTATTTTTAAAATATTTTTTAATTTTTTAATTAGTTATCCAATCAAATCTTTTTCAAAAAATATCAGCACATCAAATAAAATAAAACAATTACTTACAAAATTTAAAATTATTTTTCAAACCCATTGTAAAAGATACAACTGACCCAATAAAAGATAAAAAAAATAGATTCTGGTAAGGAATTATGTTTTAACTTTTTATTATGTAGAAATATGGCATTATTTTAGATACAAAAGATTTACCACATAGAACAACACGTATCCGGAGTGGATTAGATGATATGTATTTATCAATGAAAGCATACATATGTCAGCAAATTAATATAAGTCCAAAATTATGTGCTATAACTTATGTGGACCGAATAGACGGCAAAATATTACCTTTACATTTCACGAAATAGATTAATTTTAATATTGTATTTTATACATTGGCGACACATCATGTCACTAAAAAACATACCGCTGAATTCTTTCCGAGATAGAAAAAAATGAAAATAAATTTGAGTTAGGGTCCAAGAAAATTCAAATGGTTACGGATGCAGGACCAGTGTTAGTCTAGGAGAATATTACTTGGGGCATGGATTACATAATCTAAAGACAGTCGATGGAATAAAAAAGTAAATAAAATAGAAAATCTCATTAAAAAAGTGAGGGAAATTATAGTTGTCTTAATTCAAAACAGCGGATTTTGAAAATATAAACAATATCGAAAATGGGAAATGTTTTGAATTATCATTTACATCGGATATTTTAGATTTGTGTGATAATGATCCTTTTTATGAAAATCATTTTGGGTTTGATGATGATAGTGCAAATCAAAAATCATATGAGACGCTGGAAAGTGTGAGTGGCAATAACAAAAATCCTATAAATATTCTATTAAATAGAGTGAAGAACCAGGATCTCAAATTATTTAACTCTGATTGGGGCTTGTGGTAAGAACTTTTAAATTTTCTTAAAACCTTAAAAACTGTTGAATTTTTATCCGCCCAAAAAGGATTTACTATAAATTTATATTTAATATTTCGTAGTGGAATTAAAAATCATTTAATCGTAAAAGTATATGATAGTCCTCCTATAGCATCCCTGAAACAAAATATGCTTACTAAATTTGATCATAGATTCCCATTAACCTACAATTCATTTTTTTATATTATTTTTCTGTTTTATTTTTTTTTACATAGGTGTTAGGAGCACTTTTGCATCCTCTTTTTCAATCTATAGTAAATGAATATTTAAAGGAAATAAATATCACTACGTGCAATTATGTCAACATGCTACCTCTCTGTTGTCTTACATAGATGAATTAACCGAATATGAAACGACGGACGTTGCTTCAGAATTCGATTATCTTAAATCATTGATTACCAAACATTCATCTAATCATAACAATAATCTGGAAAGTTAAAATTATTTAACTAGTCTAGAAAAAGGGTGTTATTCATCATTTTCGCCTTTAGAGATAAAAGATGTATTCGATTTTTGGTAAGAGCATTGGATTTTAACTTTCAATATTAGCTTGCGTTCCAGCTAGGAGCACACCTAACGAGCGTGTATTTTCCATAGCTGGTCTTACTCTGAAAAGATTATCATATGTCCTATAAATCTAAATAAAATAATATTTATAATATATGATAATTAATACTTATTAAAATAGTTAAATTATTTATAAACATAATGAAGCATAAGTTTTATTTTAAAAGTGTTTCCAATGAATTTATAATTTTAATAAAATTTAAGTTAGAAAAATATTTGACGCTACAGCGCCACCTCCGATTTTTGTGGCGAAGTCTAAATCATTGCCGCAGCCATCCGAATCCGATCGTCTTAAAAAAGAAACACCACCGCCTATAGTTGTCGGCGTACAGGTCTATTATGAATATCTTAGATATTTTATGTAAGATTAAAGTCCTAATTGAAATTAAATTTACATTGATCAAAATTTTGGGAAAAAATTTGTCGTGTGGTTTTTACTTTTTTCGAAATCAATAAACACAATGATAATGAATATAAAATATTTTAAAATATATTTATTTTAAAAGGATTTTAAAAAAACAAATTAATGTAAATATTAAATGATAAAATTATTTTTTATTTCTATTGTGCAAAATAATATTTTGATTTCAAATGGCCCCTATCTTTGAAGTGGGATTACATGTTTAAGAAAAATATGCAAATGATGTTAATGTTGAACACTACCAAGTTAGCACACAGCAATTTTATAAACAACAACCTAATTTTGTAAACAACGATCAATTATTTTTAAAAAAGCGATAAAATCTATTTTTATTAAAATATATTATATGATAAAATCACGAGGTCGCCTCTGATCTATTATTAATTCTGGCTCAGAAGCGAGCCACACAAACTCAAAGATGAAAAAAAAACTCAAACCTAACAAACATTGACGATCCTAACAACGATAGATTTAGCTTTGCCCAAAAGTATTTTTTGAATTAAAGATTAAAATAAATCAAAATTACATTTTAAATTTTTTTTAAAAAAATTTGATAGTAAACTTGATATTTACTTAAAAATATAGAAGCGCTACATTTTTTTTAAGGTTGATACTTCATAATTAAAGTGGTATAATAACGATCCATTTATATTATGGCATCTAACATTTATTAGTCTGAGCTTTGCATATGACCTATACAGAGCAAGGATGAATATCGACTTAAAATGGAGTCTATGGGTCCTTAGAAAGAAAAGATTCTCTAGTAGATCAAAACCCCAAAACTGTTATATTTTTATTAAGAAATCTAACCATCTCCATAATTTGGGGACAGGATTCTGAGTAAAGGTTGAAATGTCGACCCAAATTTGGAATGTTTGACATTGTTGCAAGTGCCATCGAATGTGCGGTATTCGGATAAGCAAGCACAGCCTTGATCGATATCCGAACATTTGTCTTGATCGATAAAATTGTCGAAGACTTCAATAAAAAAAAACTTTTATCAAAAAATTAATTTTATATGGATAATTTAAAATCTTATTATAAATAATGAATTTTATTGTCCTTTTTCGATCTTCATTGATTTTAGAGAGTTTAAAAAGATCCCCTTGTTCTTATTAAGTCCAAAAGATTTTTTCCGATAGGAGTAATTATTTTATATTAGGATTGATTGTCTTAAATTTATCTTTTGTCCTAAATACAAGGCTTACGCTGATATCCTAATGCTTTTTAAAAAATTTCGATTCACAATAATATAAAGACTATATACAGTTTCAAAGAACAATAAATAATTAATTATAATTAAAGAAAATTATGTTTCAAATATTCATAATCTAAATTTAATATAACATGATTATAAATTGGAATAGACAATTTTGGAAATATATTATTCCCGTGAAAACTGAAAAAAAAATTATCCATACTTATACTTAATAGATTTTTCTCTGGAATCAGTGACGTAGCTAGGAATTTTCCTTAGAGGGGGTCCATACATATAAAAGCCTGGGGGGATTCGCTTTCCAAACCTCCTAATACGGGCCTTTGGCCCTTTTGCCCGGCCTTCGGCCGGGTTTATCTTACAAATCATAACCATATCTTCGGTAATATATAATAAATATATTTTTTTAAATGCATCAATAATATGTTATTATAATTTAGTGGATTATTCTCAATGACTTTATAATAATACTATCCAGAAAAATTTCAATAGTAAAATAATATCCTTCCACAAACATCAAAACCAGAAAAATATAAATATTAATGGTATTTATTTGATATAAAGTCACTTTTAAGTCATTTGAACGTATAATCTAAAAAAAATATTTTGCTCTGGGAGGGGTCCAAACCTGAAAACCACCCCCGTAGCTACGCCACTGTCTGGAATATATATTACTAATAAAAAATTGTATAAATATTTATTACCGTAAAATGGCGGCCCTATAGACAGAGAGTCAGGGTGTCCTATCAGAGGATTAAGGTTTTCGGAAAACCCTATAGATAGGAAGGGATTTACCAAAGGAATCTGGCCAAAAGGCGGTGAAAAGAAGGGTGAAATTGGTAGGGGCTGAAGATTTGGTTGAGAATACACCAACCATACCTGTAGTGATATTACGATGGTCAAGAACAATTCCATAAATATTCTTTATAGTGATATTTGGGGTCCGATTTATAAGTAATTTATTTGGAAATCAAAATTATTCAAGACTCTAAAATATTAACAAAAATAAATATTAAACCTTTTATATTTTTTTTTAAATTTGAAAAGTTTTAAACTTTAAGAATTTTTGAATTAATTGAAATAAAAATCTAAATTATTTGAAGTGTTGTTTTTAGTTTTCAATCAACTAAAAATCAATTAATACAAATAATAAACAATTAATTTTTTATTTATTTTTTGGACTAAATGTTTTTATATATTAGAGTTACAAATATAATATTAATGTAGATATGTTTAATCTCTTGATATCATTTCGATAGTTCATTCTCAATGTTCCTTAATTTACCATTAATTGTTGACATATATATATGCACACATAATTATTAATGTTAAAAAAATCTGTCAAAACTTCTTAGCTAACCGACCTTAACCTTCCAAATTTTAAACTCAAATGAACTATGTAATTTTTAGGCAAGCTAAATTAAATGTATTATTAGAGAACCAGTGAGAGGGGAATTTAAAAGAACAGAAAAAGATTAATCTTTCAACAGCTAAGAATGATTATTTTTCTTGAAAATAGGGTGATTGTATATAGGGGAGACTGGGGTTAGGTAAACCCCAGGGCTTGACAAACTACTTAATCTAATTTTAAAATAAAATACACCAGAAGGTTAAAATTTTATCCTAATATAGTTTTCATTAGTATACATCTATGGACAAAAAAATATTTTGAAATAATTAATTACCAATTTGATGAAATTTTCAAAAGATTTTTACATGACGGAATTTTAATTTTAAAATATTGAAAGGGCGATTTCATGGCTGTTTATGATTGGTATTTATGATATGCTAAAAAATCTTAATCTTTCCTTAAAATTCATATTTTTTTATGTCCAAAATGTTTATTAAATTAGCCAAAATTAAGTTACAATTTTTATATATAATTAACTTCAATTTATAAGTATTATGATATTTTGAAGAATAAGACAATAAAATTATTCTATACATATCATTATTAATAAATAAAAATGCATTTCAATTTATTATGGCCTAAAAAACCAATGGTTTAGGAAGCTCCTTGAAGTGATTTGCCTTACCCCGCTATTGGGGCTTGTTGAACAAAATTTTTACTTTTACAAAAAATAAAATTTAAAAAAAAATGATTATATTCTTTAGATTTTTTATAAGGCACCTTTATAGAGTATAGTTTTAGGTATCCAATAATATAAAAAATTGGTTCGACTAACTCAGTCTCCCCTACTTAAATTATGGATAAAGGAGAGGCATGATTAAAAAAATCCATATTTTCCTCTTTTCTTTCACGTCATTTCATTCCTTATTTTCTGAGGGAATCGTTTATCAATTGTTACCTTAGAGGAAAGTATCTTCTCAGAGACTTAGTGTATAGCGCTATTTTAATTGACTATTTTAATTATAGTTAAGTTTTTAATATTTTTATTATGATACTCTTTCCATCCAGCTGACGGATTTAGATTTGAACACCTATTTTAACTAATTCATAGGCATAGCCAGAAATTTTCAATAGAAAATGCATAAACGTTGGGGGGGGGGGGGGTGTCTGCCCTTCAGCCGGGTTTATACCTTAAGATATAATATTTAAAAATTTGTTTTAATTTTTTTTTTGATTTTATTCTTTTTTAATTTTATAATTTTTGACTCTTTGGACTATATTTTTTGTAAAGATATCATGCCCCGCAATGATCTTTTTTATATTTTGATATGTGGATCTGGAATCCTCTTTGATATCGAAGGTCTATTAATACTTATGAACATAAATTTTAACAAATTATTTACTCGTAAATTCGCTCTATAATCTACCAGAATCAATTCATAAATTAATATCCCTTTAACACTCCAGTACTGCAAGATAAGGTTTCTATATAGTTAAGGGATTTTTAAAATTTTTCAATAGATACATAGAAATATTATTTATTTAATTTGCTTCTTTGGCATATTATTTGTTTTGCTTCTCGTCAAATCTCGCATAGATTCTTAGACCAATTTTCTTTTTGAATAAAGAATATTTCGGAAAGAACTTCAAAAATAAAAAAAAATAATTTTATTCAAGTTTTTAAAGCTATCTAATAGACGGAACAGCATGATGCTTTCTAGAGAAATTAAAAATTGGTCAATTTTAAATCTCACTCGTTTTGGATATTTTGAATTGTATATTTTTAAATAAAAGTTTAATTTCTAAATCAAAGGAGATCTGCAAATATTCACCTACATAAAATGTATTAGTGTAAACAATTCTAAACATTTAAATTTACCTCTTTAAAGGAATGAATAACTTGATTTCCTTTGAGATCCCTTTGAGGTTTGTACATTGTAGTATTTTTGAATTGCAATTTAGAGACAATATGCTCAACTCTGAAAGGACAGCATATACCAAACTTAAATCATGAGTAGTCATTCCTTTAAATTACTTGTTGAATGGTAGATTAAGTATTAAATTAAATTTTCATTTATTTATATATGTATTATCTTTATTCTGTTCATACGTTATAAAAATTTTAAATAATTATTTAAAATAGCAATATATAAAAAATTATAATGACAAATATTTTAAAAAAAAAATCTATCATTTGAATTTACATATTTCCATATATATTCTCTGCCTGAGATAAAGATTTTCCTTGTGGTCACCGAAGACATAGAAAGTTGTTCCCTAAAGTTTTAGGAAAAGTGAGGCTTCAATGCCAAAGTTACCTAGAGTCGAAGTGACAAAAAGTAAAAAATTATAGAAAAGAATATTTGAGGCAATTCGAAGTTTCGGTGGCCGTGATTTAAGAGTTGTATAGATTTGATTTAGCGAATAAATATATACAGGTATAGTCCAAATATGAGGTAGTCTCTGACCCAAGAAATGAGTTTTATTCCATCTGGACGTTTGTTGTATAAGGTATCAAGTCCTACAGATTCAATCGTTGATGAATGGGAGCACTAGATAGGGCCTTATGTATAAGAGTATTTATTGCAACCTTCAATTTATCCATAATCATAATAGTTACGAATGGCTAGAAGCTGTTCAAAGTCAGGATCTGGTGACATATCTATCACCAGAATAACAACGGATCTCAAATAGCCTCCGTCTAAACACTTCAACAAGATTGTGGGTTTGATAAGAGAAATACAGCAGAACACACAATCATAGGAGTGCCCCAGTTTTTTGAAAAAAAGTGATTATAGGTCGAGGTATATCTGGAGAAGGTTAATATTATAAATTGTCAAAGCTGTCTGGGGATTTTGGTCATTTAAAGTAGTTAATTGGTAAATTAAACCTTCGGGTGAGAGATGTATGGATATAAATTTTCAATACATTTCTTTTTTTAATATATCCTAACCAAGATTGGCAAGTCGGCCAATTGATAGGCCAAATTCAGTCAATTGACCGGAGGAGTATTTGACTAGGTCAAAAAAGGTCAATAAATCTGAGGGAAAAATAAAAATATGTTTGAAATGAGAAAAAAAGATATAAATACATGTTATCACAATGCTGCTTATTTATTGGGTCCCCAGACTTAAACGCTTAATAGATTAGATTATTTGGGGCGTGTCTAAGGACATGACCCATTTACTATATTTTCCACTATCAACATGTATACTGTAAGGTTATTTCATCTGGCTTATAGTACTCTGTTGGACTTATTGAATGGGAAAAGGTTTCAGTGATATACCTCAGGAATTTGTTAATAAACGATTGCGTCTTCTTATTATGGGACATAGTAACATTCCACGTCTCTATTCCATAGTATTGGTGCGAAGACGATATCTTATGATTGGTACTTAAATCTGACCTTTTTTAATTTAACCACCATATCCTTTCTGTCTAGGATAACTTCCAGATATTATTTAACCTGTTCAATATCCTCCTCGTCTATCCTTAAGATTTCATGGGTTAACGTAAAGGCAGGGGTTAACTTTAGTTTTCTTTGCGTTTAGATTTAACCCAAAAACATTTGCTTTGATGATTATTTTGTTAACTAGGTATTAAGGTTTGAGCATAGAGATCCCCGTTAGACACAAATCATCCGCAAAAGTCAAAATTACTTACATCACCATTTCTTCCATACCTATGGCTTTTACTTTTTTTAAAATATAATTAGTAATGAAGTTTATACTAACGGGGACAAAATACATCTCTAATTCAGCCAGATTTTTATTGTTAATTTGAGATTAGCATGAATAATTTTGATAGATGCTAATTGGATGTTGGTGTCCTTATCTCCTCCAAAGCTTCTCACAAATTGTATTAATAATAGAGTAGAAAGCTCTTCTAAAGTGCCGCAATAGATAGCTGGTTCTTTGGTTCTTTCTTACCATAGCCTTATTAGGAAATCTTATGTGAATATTATTATAAATAAACAATCTTTTAGCTGAAATCTTTTATAATTTTTTTTAAAACCGTTTTTGTAAAATTATCTATTTTTTTTAAGCATATTAAGAGAAGTGGTTTTTTCTAAATAATTATTTTAAAAATATTTATAAACATTTTTATGTTATTTTATACGAACTTTTAAATGTAAAATTTTAATGTGACAATTGTCATATTCGTTATTTTTTACCATTTTTGAAATTTTTTGACACAAAAGTGTAAAAATATAATTTATATTGTAAAGATGTAAAATTATTTCCTTGGAAAAATGACAATTATCATAATCGGTATTTTTAAACAAATTAGATTTTTTTTGGCGCTAATGGGCATAAATATAAATAAATTTATTTTTAACATGTTAATTTAAAATTTGTGCCATCTAAAAGAGAGAATTGTCATTATCGTCATTTTTTAAGTTTTTTTAATTTTTTTGACGCAAATGGGCAAAAATAAGTATTGCTAACATGTTAAATTAAAAATTTAGTGAAGATGTATCATAGATAAGTTACAAATGTCATAATTGTTAATTTTAAAGCTTTTTGAATTTTTTTGACGCAAATGGACAAAAATAAGTATTGATAACATGTTAAATTAAAAATTTAATGAAAGTGTATTATAGATAAGTGATAATTATCATAATCGTTATTAAACTTTTTTGTGAATTTTTTTGACGCAAATGGATAAAAATATAAGTTATAAACATATTAAATTAAAATTTAATGAAGAAAGACAAGTGACAATTTTCATTATCAAAATTTTTTGATTTGGGCAAAAATAAGTATTGCTAAAATGTTAAATTAAAAATTTAGTAAAGATGTACCCTAGATAAGTGACAATTCTCATAATCGTTAATTTTAAAGTTTTCCAATATTTTTTTAAAAAATCATTCCAAAAAAGATATTTTTTAAAATTTTATTGGAATAATTCAGAAAATTGCCAATTATCACAATCTTCTTTTTTTTGAGAAATGTGTTGGTACCATTTGGCGAAACAAAAAATCAAATAGCAATTTTCATGTTCATGTTCATAATCGTTTTCCCTTTTATCCTGCTCAAAATTTAATAATCAAAGTGATTACAAGACAAATATTAAAGTGCGTAACCCTTCATTCACAGTTAGCAAAAATTTTTGTATACTAGTGCTGAGTCTGAATTTAGAGTAAGATTTTTATGAAAATATCTTAAAAACCATATGAATATTATTTATCAATATGATAGAATCAAAATCCTATAAATTTAATGTTTCGATTTTAAATTTCATAAATATGGTAAAAATTGTTTACAATCTATATTTTTGCTATTTATGCCTAACAAATTCAAATAACTTTTAAAATAACGATTATTACAATTGTAACTTGTCTATACATCTTCAGGAAATTTAAATTTAACATGTTTATAATCTATATTTTTACTCATTTGAGTTTAAAAAAATTTTAATAACTTTAAAAAAAATGATTATGACAATTGTCACTTATCTAGGGTGCATTCCACTGAAGTTTTATTTAACATGTTAGCAATCTCTGTTTTTGCCCATTTACGTCAAAAAACTAAAAAAAACTTTAAAATAAGGATTATGTTTATTATCACTTATCTATTGGTACATCTAAAAAACTTTAAAATAAGGATTATGTTTATTATCACTTATCTATTGGTACATCTTCATTAAATTTTTAATTTATCATGTTAGCAATACTTATTTTTGCCCATTTACGTCAAAAAAATTCAAAAACTTTAAAAAATAACGATTATGACAATTGTCACTTATCTTTGGTACATCTTCATTAAATTTTTAATTCAACATGTTAGCAATACTTATTTTTGCTCATTTACGTCAAAAAAATTCAAAAAATAAAAAATAATGATTATGACAATTTTTACTTATTTTTGCTACATCTTCACTAAATGTTAATTTAACATGTTAGCAAAACTTTTTCTTGCCCATTTGCGTCAAAAAACTTTTAAAATAACGATTATGGCAATTGTCACTTATCTAAACTTCACTAAATTTTTAATTTAACATGTTAGCAATACTTATTTTTGCCCATTTTTACTTTTAGATGGTACATCTTAATTGAAATTTTAATTTAACATGTTAAAAATAAGTTTATTTATATTTTTGCCCATTAGCGTCAAAAAAATCTAATATGTTAAAAAATACCGATTAGATAATTGTCATTTTCCAAGGAACATCTTCTTGAATTTATAATTTAACATCTTTACAATATAAATTTTATTTTTACCCTTTTGTGCCAAAAAATTTCAAAAATGGTAGAAAATAACGAATATGACAATTGTCACAATAAAATATTACCCTTAAAAAGTTCATATAAAATAACATAAAATTGGTGATAATTTTTAAAATAATTATTTAGAAAAAACCTTCTCTTAATATGCTTACAAAAATAGATAATTTTAAAATGATTAAAAAAAATTTTAAAAGATTTCACCTAATAGATTGTTTATTTTAATAAAGTTCACAAAAGATTTCCTCTAAAGATTTATTTACAAAATAGATTTAAAACTCTTATCAATGTTCAAAACATATTTTTTGCTAAAATTTTTAGCGTGAAAATCACTAATGAATTGTAACAAAAATAATATTACAAAGATAGCGGTTAATGATGCTTACTACCTTAAGGTATTACCTATCAAATTTACATGATACTTGATATATAGCGCTTTGCCTTCTAGCGTCGAAGGTTCAACAGAGCTACGCTAGGTTTTCCTCATTTCCATCTAATTGGAACTAATTTATTAGGGTGTATAAAAATATGAGGAGCCCTCCATACGTTTGTGGGCAAGCCGCACGTACTTGTAGGCGCAACATTTTGAAAAATGTTGCTTAAACCTCTATAGGCTTATTAAAAAGAAGTGGGGCAAAAAAAAGAGCCCATACCCGAGAACTACAGTATAATTTAATTACTTTAAGGGTGGGTGGTGGCTCATTTTAAGT